TCTCTCTCTCTCCTCTATCTACTCTCTCTCCTCTCTCTCTCTCTCGCTCTCTCTCTCTCTTCTCTCTCTCCTCTCTTATCTCTTCTCTCTCTCTCTCTCTCTCTCTCTCTCTCTCTCTCTCTCTCTCTCTGACAGCGACATGCTTTTTAGATAATTATTCAAGTACCGGAATTAATCGTTCCCGTCACCGGACAAATGAAGAAAAATGCAGATGGGGTGCCTATATCATTTCGCGACGTTCATTGGTTCCACCAGCATCGTATCGAACAACGTACGCAAAGCTACACAGAACAACAATATGCAAGACATCCGTGGTCGGGTCGGTTCAAAATTACATTTCTGCATTTCTCCGGCTCAGCATGACTCATTTGGTTTTATGAAAAAGCTAATGTCATGCGTAGTGCTAGAAGGCATCTTGCATAATGACGAACACTGGTTAGGTTTGTGCCACGCTTTGTCGTCCCCCCCCCCTCCCCCACCATTTCACCGCCCAATTCCGGGTGTTAGAAGATACCCATGCACACCCACAGTTTGCCCGCATATCCATCCGCCATTTGATTGTTGGATCTTTGTCCCGAATATAAGCGGCTTCTAGCGCTTTCAGGTTGACTTTTTCCGTGCACTAAGACGATATGGTGACACTGTCCACCGATTGCATCGAGACAGCGTCCTTCCATGAGCTAATGTCGCACGCCGCTTTGACGCTCCGTCCTGGAGGTGCATCGTGATCTATCGTGATAGTGTGGTTGTAGTACGACCAATGTGTGAGTTGCGTCGACGCGTGCAGCCGCCGATGGGGTACATAAACTGGCGGACGACGGTCATTTTCAGTCGCTGTCATTGGGGTCTCGCGACGCACTCAGCTGCTGAGGCCACATGCCGTCGCCTTCCTCTCACCCAGGCAACAAGAGCGGACACCGCGGGGATTCGAACCTCGTACCTCTGGTTTCCCAAACGCGCAGTGGTTAACGCAGATGCGTCAACCACTGCGCAATCGGCACCACAGGCATTGTCAGTAGTGAGCTATCTGTGGACAGGTTTTTCACCGTTCATTTTATCTCGTGAATAGCTTTCTCGTCAGCCTTGTATGCGGTTGATTCTGCTGTAGTAATGCAGTTTGCCGCCAGTGCTTACCACTTCTCTATCTACTTGTTCATCGCGTGACAGGAAGTGTGTGTGTGTAGCTGCCGATGGATCTTCTGATTGTCTGTATCAGCGAGACTGCAATTGTCGTCGAGAATGTGTCTAAGCTGTTGACGAGAATACCCTCGAACTCGTGGCGTATGAGCGGCCATGGTACGCAGTGTTTGAGTGCTGTATGTATGTGTGACTACATCACGCTTCATTTATATTTATCTAGACATTTGCTAGACGGTCCAGGCGGTTGCCAGAATCTGTGGGTTTTATAAACGCTGAAGCTGCATATTTTCCACCCGAGGCATTAAGAGCTGATCACTGAAGCATTAGCTAACAAGTAAGTCAAAGTTAGATGTACCGACATTTGCAACGGAGCATGTCTCGAGGAAAACCTGCCCCCTGAGTTCAATATATATATATATATATATATATATATATATATATATATATATATATATATATATATATTCACGCATGATTGCATATCGACACTTATTTCATCTTATCCCGTACGGCGGACTTTACGACCTTCTGTTCGCTGGATCCGCTTTCGTTCTCATGTTACCATTTATATCTTTTGCATATACCTGGAAAGCCATAGCTATGTAAATGCTGCGGAAACGCCTCCGGATCTTTCCATAGACCAGACGTGTCACAGGCATGACCAGACTAAACGACTCCAATTCAATAGAACCTTCTGCCCCCAAGCACGTGACCCAATTTACACCGATATTGTTTTACAAAACGCATGGTTGTCAGATGGATTAGCATTTGAATCGTCCCGCCCCAACTGTGCCACTTAGTAAAATGTTAGAGATAACGGCACTGGTGGCTTTCACCAGGGTTTGTGGCAACATAACGCCAGCTAAACACGCCTAGATAAACATGCACCTACACAAGGCCACGTCACGACAGACAACGCGATTTATATCATCTACAAGACCAGTAGCAGGCGATACAAATAACCTGGCTGCAGCTGACGGCACAGCGGAGAGCCGCCGCTGATACACGACAGAGATTGCCGGAGTGACACGCTCAGCCTGTCCAGCTCCTCGCGCCCGGATTGTGTGCGTTTCCCGTCGCGCCACCACGTGGTCTGCCCGAGGGTCGGCCAGACCAGACGAACCAAACTACGCTCGCAGGACCACGACCCCATGCAAGACCATGCGAGCCGGTCACCATCCTGGACACCAGGCCACGCATGCAGGTGGTGACCTCAGGTCACACCACGCGAGCGGTTCACGCCGCAGCAGACGAGGTGGGGGAGCGGTCACCGCACGACGGTCACCGCTCCCACCACGCCGCCACAGTCTCCTGAGACGGGAGGCCGAGCGGTCGCTCTCACTGGCTCTGATGCCGCAGGCGAGCTTGACAAACCGACCCGACCACCGCACGCAGCGCTGTCTTGGGGTACTTTATCATGATTTTTGCTGTGGTGTCAGTTGGTGTGGTGTCATTTTTGCTAATACGGTGTCCGTCTTCTAAAGATGGTTTGTCTACGGAACAGTGTATTACGCATAGCTTACGGGAAGACCGGCGCGCCACGATACTGGTCATTATCTATATCGGCCATCACCTGGCAGCATGTATGGCTTGCAATTCGCGCAGTGGTATACGGTATGGGGTTTAGACAATCGTGTACGACGGGGTCATCCCATAGGAGATCGAGGGCCTTTAGATGTCACGGATCTTTGGTAATTTTCTTCTCTCTGCACCAAGTCATTGTTTGCAAGGAGCTCCTGATCCGACGAAATGGGCACTGACGCAAGGGGCACGAAAAGGAAGAGGCACGAGAGGCACAAAGAGGGAGAGGCACAAAAGGCACGAAGACATCCGATGCTTCCGCCTTTCCGGCCGCAGCACAATTCATTGAGGAGAATGTCTCGCCTTGGTGGATATTCAGCACAAACATGGTTAAGCAGAAGGATGCCAGTTATATGAGTTGTAACATGTAGCTCTCATTCAGAAGCAGTAGCCATTTAGGGCTTTCGGGCGTTTCGGCTGCGCGGTCATGTAGCGCCCATGACGTATAGCTGCCATCCACTTATGGCGTGAACGGCGCCACGGACATGAGGACTGCGTATGTGGACAAATACAAGCAAAAGAGCTTTGGTGATTTGTTCTCGAAGCTCATGCTGGAGCACCTACTGTTTTGGATGACGGCATCGTTGTCCCTGTGTGTCATAGGCACCGATTATGTGCTGCTTCCTCAACATTAACCAAAAACAAAATGTACCCAACATCAGGAAACAGAGCAGCGTGTGACAGAATACGACGAAAGGGCGCCACATACGCTTATACCGGCCTAGTTGGTGTGAGCTACAGAACTTGCCACAATCTGGCTATATCTGTCCAACAGCCGAGTACAGGTGCAAGAGATCCTCTTCAGTAGCAGCCTTAGCTGCGGTCGGGCCTATCATTCGCACTCTGCACTAAATCAGTCAACCTTACTATTGAGCTTAGGGCTGCCCTGGCGTGTTTATCAGCTGATAAAACGCACGTGTAACCTAGGTATATGACGGTCAATGACTTCCTCCGTCACGGAGGAGCCATTAGATACAGTTACGATGAGTTGATGAAGCGCCAAATAGACCCGTATATGGACGACACACAACAGCAACGCAAAAACGTCGGCGTTGCAGCATACAACAGTGCACGCTAGTGCAATTAACTTACAGCACCGACAGAGTGTATACGATCAAACAGAGGTCCGATGTCTTTCACAACACACCGACCATGTCTGGTGCTGACAAGTGTTCCGACATCGACTACACCCGGTGCGTACAAGATGGCACTGCTGATTTCGAGTCGATCGATCACGTACACCATTACAGCCGTATGCTTCATATCGGCTATGTTTGGACACATTTTGCCGCTATTTAAGTAAATACTTTTCTTTATTTTCCTATCACAGGAGACTATGCAGTTTGAACGCCTTGGAGCAAATGACCAGCCCAGGGCAAAAAAGACCATGGCACCTCAGATGAAATCGTGGGCGCCTGACGTGTGGGTTTTACATGTTACGCCGCTGCGGCTTTCATAATTACGTGAATTTCACCACGTAGCCGGTGGCACGGCTCAGTGTTACGTGCCGGAAGCGGATATATTGCTTCACTCGGGAGCACATAAAGATTCAGGCTTTCGTTGCAACTACACATTGAATGGACAACAGTGCAATCAATGACGAGAGTTGGGCACCTATAGAAAGCTTTGTGCTATTGTCAAATAGCATTAGCACGTATGACTCATTTGCGCGGGTGTCGATTTGTACTCTTGTGTGAGGAACACTACGCAATGTAGTGTTGCCCCCACCCCCCCCCCCCCCCCCTCCCCCAATGTTGGCTTGGGCCCCTCCATATTTTTGGCTGGAATGCTACGAAAGCGTAGGTAGTAGCTGGCCATCACCCCAAGGCTATCTTCTTTGATCTGTCTGCGTACCGGCGCCACCATGGAAGATGCAGCGGGGTAATTCTATCCCGTAGCCACAAATTTATTTCCTCAAATGGTGGGTTACTTTAGGTAACGGAGCTAAGCCCATTTAGATATGACGTGATTTATTTTTGGGCCGTGAAAGGGGCGTCAAAAACTACCCCTTAAAGCACGTGCTTTACTGAAAAGTAGTTAAGTTTCGGCTTCTGCTGACCTTCGTACTTTGCCAGGACGTCCAACACACTTTAAAGTGTTTGACGATACTCCGGACAGAGCGTTTTCGTGAAAATGGCCATTTAATTTTGGGATAACTAAAAATAGTGAACTCGGCCTAATCAACCATTGCATAAAGCCTCATTATGTATTGATATCGAATCTTAAAATGCACTTATCTTATGTGACAAGTGTTTTTATAGACACAAAAGACACCCCTGTGTTTGGCGCCTGCAATGCATAGACATAGGTACAACAAACACGCAATAGACGTTGTGAAGTCATAGAAAGACGCTTGCCGTTACACAAGACGCACTGGTGATAAACTCACCTCACTTTTTGCTCCAAGAATAGAAGACAAACACACAACAAGCTGCATCAAAGCATCAACATTTACCAGATCCAGCCGCAGCAGACGTCACAGCTGGACGCCTGCGCAACACGCCGCTTCACGCCACTCCCGGCAAGCCCGGCGGTGGCGCCCATGTCGCCGGCCGACTTACATGTTCTGCGTCCTCCGAAAGAAATGATGATGACGGCCGTGGTGACGCACGTGGCGCAGAATGTTTTCACCGTGATCACCGGCGTCAGCGCCATAGGTGTCAGCTGGTGGGCATGGCGGCCGGCACTGAGTCAGCACTGGGTTCGCGCACCGGTCGTCACTGTTCAGCGCCCTGCCCGGCGCCAGTCACTCGGTCAGCGCTGGGAACGCGCCGGTCGCCGCCCGATCAGCACTGGGCCGGCGTCGGCCGGCGTCGCTCGACCGGCGCGCCGTGCCGGAGTCTCGGCCGCCACTCGATCAGCGCTGGGACGGCAACGGTCGTCGTTCGCGCCGCTCGCGCCCGCCGCGATCGGCCGCCTCGGTCGGGCGCGTCGGGCGATTTATCATCCGAGAGAAACTCGGCGTTTGAATGGCGCGCGGTCCGCCGCCTGTAATCGCGTAGGCGGCGGTCTGTTTTAGTGTGGCGCCGGCGGTGGCCGCCGCTTCCGTCCAGGCCGGGCCGGTCTCACGCCCTCGCGGCGCGGGGCCACCCGTGCGGCGCGCACACCGATCCGAGGCCCGAGCCGGCGGCGCCGGCCGGCCGGTCGACATCGCCGGGCCGCGCTGGCCTCGACGACGGCGGGACGGACGGCGGACGCGGGACTCCGCACGGGGTGACGGCCTCTGGGGCGGCCGGACCTCCGAGCCGGGGTGACGGCCTCCGGGGCGGCCGGACCTCCGAGCCGGGGTTGACAGCCTCCGGGGGGCCGGGCCTCCGCTCCGGGGTGACAGCCTCCGGGGCGGCCGGGCCTCCGAGCCGGGGTGACGGCCTCCAGGGCGGCCGGGCCTCCGAGCCGGGGCGACGGCCTCCGGGGCGGCCGGGCCTCCGCTCCGGGGTGACAGCCTCCGGGGCGGCCGGACCTCCGAGCCGGGGTGACGGCCTCCGGGGCGGCCGGGCCTCCGAGCCGGGGTGACGGCCTCCGGGGCGGCCGGGCCTCCGCTCCGGGGTGACAGCCTCCAGGGCGGCCGGGCCTCCGAGCCGGGGTGACGGCCTCCGGGGCGGCCGGACCTCCGAGCCGGGGCGACGGCCTCCGGGGCGGCCGGGCCTCCGAGCCGAGAATGCGCGAGCGCGGCTACCGGCAGCCGGTCGGCAAGCACAGAAGCCGGCCGCCGGTCCGGTTTGTGCGTGCATAGAGGCAGAACAGGACCGACGCACGCTCTCGCGCGCGCGCAGACTGCCCCGACGGGTCGGCTCTGCGGACCACGTCCGCATCGGCGGGAGAACCGGACCCCGAGGAACCGACCCCGGCGCCAAGACCTAACCAGGAACAAGTCGCAAGTGTGTGTGTGTGTCTGTGTGGAGGGGGGGGGGGGGGGCATGCACCGACGTTATCTGAGCACTGGACCGAGCGGAGCTCGCCTCGGGCCGCCAGCATGCTGTGAGCGCACGCCGCACACCGTCAGCAGTGAGCTACATGGCGAATAACGATGACGCCTGGAACAGTTGCCACCGCACAGCGGTCTGCTGAAGACCTGCTCCTGTGTCAAGGTAACCAAACGACCGGGACCACTGAAGGTCGGCCACTGCCACGAACCGACACCGGCAGCACGCGGCGACAGGTGACGACCCTCGCCGCACGCCGGGCCGCGGCGATGGGACGGACCACCCTGCCAACCGGGCAGGCCTCGGCTCCAGCCCGCACAGCCGGCGATGGGACGGACCACCCGGCCGACCGGTGCAGCCCCCGGCCTCAGCCCGCACGGACCACCCGGCCGACCGGGCAGCCCCCGGCCCCAGCCCGCACAGCCGGCGATGGGACGGACCACCCGGCCGACCGGGCAGCCCCCAGCCCCAGCCCTCACAGCCCACTGACGGCCCGCCGGGAGCCATCAGCCAGTCCCGGAGGCGAGCTGGGGCAGTCGCTGGTGACTCGCGGTCGGCGCTGTCGGTCGCCTGAGGCGCCTGGCCGGCGGCGCGGCCCTGCCGGGTCCGTGACTCAGATGGGGGGCTGGGCATGGCGGGCTTGCGAGCACAGTCACACCCTCGTCTCAGCCCGCACAGGACAGGCCTGTACGGTGACGCTGGGGGAGAACGGGGCCGACGACGCCCGTCGGTCGCCCGGCACTCGCCGCTGAGGGGCCCAGGCCCGCGCCGGGGCGCACAGCCCAGCCCGGAGCCGGCCGCCGGCGGACGGCGGTCCGCGGTCTGAGGGCCCGACCACGGCTGCCGCCCCGGCCCGCCACGTGCAAGTCAGCGGGCCATGACCGGCCGATGCACGGCCTTCACGGTCGTCCGGCGACGGCGCACCTGGGCCGCCGACTCATATGCAAATGGCGGTCGGCCGATGTCCGGCGATGACGCGCGGACGTCGGCAGCTATCCGCGACCGGTCTCGGCCTGTCGTCCGGCGCCCGACCGCGCGTGGACGCCTCGCCTACTGCGCCACCGCCGGCAGCACGACGGCGATCAGCGCGCGGTCGTTAACGCAGATGGGCGATGAGGAAACTGTGAGCGTTCAGAAAACTACGAGTTTCACAACTTTGCGACATCTGCCACTTGTCGTTGCAACACTAGGGCGTAAGGTCGCACTTAACACAGCATGCAGGCGTCCCTGACCCACTACCGTTCACGATCTCAGCCCCTGGGAGAGAAGGGGAGAGTGACTTTGGAATGCGGACTCGGATGGTCCCCTGAGCGGGGCGCGTTCTGAGTGCTGTCGGCACGAGAGCGAGCAGCCGGCAGCGCCCGCGGTCTCAGCGTCCACCGCCATAGCGAGCCGAGCCACACTTTATCTCTCCGGACGGCTGCCAGACGTAAAGCTCACTTAATTGAATGTGGGCGGGCATTAATTTTATGTCCCGACACCGGGCGTCCCGTAATCGGGCCATTATCGCACAAACAAGACGATCGCCGGCGCTGAGTTCATTACCGCCGGCCTGCCGTAACGACCAGCGGCTGCCGGGCCCCGGCTGCTGGCCGCCGCCAGAGACCAGTGACTGCCGGGACCCGCCTGCTGGCCTGCCGTAACGACCAGTGGCTGCCGGGACCTGGCCGCTGGCCGCGCCTCCGGTCATGCTGGCCACGCCAGCTGACAATACGCCGCGTCCCGGCCGTCGCGAGAACCAGCGACGTCCGCGGCGCGTCAGTCTGGCGCCGCTCCGGAGACGAAGTGCCGGGTCTCCCCTCCTCCCGCGTCTTCTTCCAGTGCTCCGGTCGGCCAACGGCGCGCTGCCCCACCAGCCGCCTCTGGGCCGGATTGGTGTCCCCGACAGCGCCGGACGGGCCGGCGCCACCCGTGTACCGAGCCTACAAAAAGCGCGCGCCGCTCTGTTTGTGTGGCCGTGCGGCGCCGTGCGACAAGAGAACGGCGCCTCTGTGCGACGCAGATCAATTACAGATAGCCGGCCGACCGCGCGCGCGCGTGCCAACACGCCCGGCGGCGGTCTGTGGACACGGCGGCAGAGATTGGACCCCGGGCAGTTGACACAGCGGCAGAGGTTGGACCCCGGGCAGTTGACACAGCGGTAGAGATTGGACCCCTGGCAGCTGATACGGCGGTAGAGATTGGACCCCTGGCAGCCGATACGGCGGTAGAGATTGGACTCCTGACAGCGTACACGGCGGTAGAGATTGGACCCCTGACAGCGGATACGGCGGTAGAGATTGGACCACGGGCAGCTGATACGGCGGTAGAGATTGGACCCCTGACAGTGGATACGGCGGTAGAGATCGGACCCCTGACAGCTGATACGGTGGTAGAGGTTGGAGTCCAGGCAGTTGATACGTCGACAGAGATTGGGGCCCAGGCAGTTGATATGGCGACAGAGATTGGAGCCCAGGCAGTTGATACGGCGACGAAGTCCGGACTGCTGCCAAGGCGGCAGAGATCGGAACTCAGCTAGTTGACACGACTAGAAAGCTTGGGCCCCGGGCAGGTAACATGGTGAGGCACCGGTATCCGTACACGGTGAGGGGTCATGACCGTCCTGACCGCGGTGGCAGAACTGGTGCAGGTGACTAAGACGGTCACAGGTCGCCTTATGCCGGCCCACTGGACCGGGGCTGGAGTGCTGGGAGATGAGATGGCAGAGAGCTCCTCCCGTTTTTGTCCGACGCCGGGAGTTCCGTCGCCCACGGCCTTAACAGGGCGGCCTCGTACGTTCTGGCGCGCTCTGTGCATAGCCTGGACACCCAGACAGCAGCTCTGAGTGGTAGATTGGTCAGTCAGCCCGGGCTGATGTGGCATCGTTTCAGACCACACCGCGACCAGCAAGGCTTCGACCAGCTACTGTGGCGTCATAACAGAACGAAACCGACAGCGGACACGAATCCGAGGCAGACGATGCTGCACCAAAACAGATCATGATACCGGTCCTGGTATAAAGAATGTGGAATGTGGAATGTGGAACATATACACAGAATGTGGCAAGGAGAATCGCTGCTGTGTTCCGAAAGCGAAATTCCGCTATTCTAGGGGAGTCGTGTAACCATGACCAAAAAGCACCAAGGGGAGAATTGGGGTTGTTTGCACCACCTGCCGTAAACATCGGATCGTCAAGGTGTTTCCAACACAGGAGGCAACGTGTTGGTCCATAACGAATTAGGATGGACCGAAACGTAGGCAAATAAATGATGCTGTTGCCGACTAGCTGTGATCGATCGACCCCGTAACTCTTCGTCCCCGTTCCCCCTCCCCCGTCCCCACTCCTTTGATCCCCAGTGTTTGTCCACGCCAACACCTCACCCCGAAGCGGCTCCGAACACCGGCCCCCGCCGAGCCCACGGCGGGCCACACGGAGCCGCATCTCGATGCTCTAACCACCAGAGCGTGGACCCTCTACGAAACGTGGTGCGTATCCCAGTCATCATCAGTTGTTTGACACACCGCACCAAACAAGTCACCGCGATTCGGTCCAATTTTAGAGAGCGCCGACGCTAATGCCGCAGCAGCAGCTTGATCTAGCACGCGCTCGGGTGGGGGGCAAATTGACCCCCGAAGATTTTTCCGGAATGCTTTCCGAACGCCACGGTGTAGCCGCGCCGAGTAATGAATCGCTGTAGATTGAATAGCGGATCGTGTGGTATCAAGAATTTAGATATACCTTGTCAAGTTACTGCCCCACGGCAGGTCAATGTCGGCCATTCAGCGAAGTCAATTTCTAGGCAACCGTTCAATCTGATGAAACAACAGAGTGTTAGACGAAGCCAGACACCTCTGAGATACTTTCTTAGGCGGCGCAACAATTGAATAAACAAAGTCCATTGACCTAGAGTCAGGTACAAAGGTCAGACCAACGTCAAAACCGGCCTGTTTTGTTGCTCTGGGGCATATTGTATAGGGTAGTTTGTGGTGTATATTTCGAGTTCATTGATTACAGGAACCGCATTATACATCCTCCACGGACTTCTTAAGGTCAGAGTAGGTCATTGATAAACATGACCGGGGTCAACGCTTTGTTTTTAGAAACATACTGCCTGGCGCAATCCTTGTCGCTTATTCAAATGCAAAACTCAAAGCAGTCTTGTATGATTTTGGCATCAGTCTTAAACGTAGTCAGTGGCTGCAGCAGCTTGCACAAATGATACACCAGAATGTCATACATGGATGCTCATACAGCGGGCTCGACAATGACGCTGATAGGATTATCCTAACAGGCTTTGGCTGTGAGCTGACAAGAGAGCTTTGACAGAAGCAGTGTGTTTGTGACGTGCTACTGCATATCACGTCACAGGGCACATACACCAGCCATAGAGCAGGGGCTCCACGTTACTCGAGCTGCGGTGAACTGAACGCAAGAGCTTTCAATTCGGCTTTTTAACCTGTTTTCTTTTTTGAAAGGGCATACGTTTCATGTTCTCATTGTCAGGTAGAAAACCGCAGAGCAAGAGCGGTATTGAATCATGGCCGTGGAGTTATAAAGCAAGCAGATGACGTAAGATATTGGATCCCAAATCCTGCTGTGCAATCACTCTCAACGCTTTAATGCACCTTCCACTGCTATCAGTATCCTCATTATGGTAGAATTTCTCATACGCTTTCACCTCGTGATGCCGGTGTGACGTTCCGAGCAACATCCAACTCAATCCGATCAGATGCTTAGGGAATAAAGAAGAGCCCTCCAGAAGTTACTTCCCTTTCTATTCAATTCACAATGCGTAATTATCGTCCGCGGTGGAGGCTACCTTTGAGACTGACTTGGCCCTTGGTTTTGAGACTGGCTCTAAAATGTCATTCAATGAGCCCGTGTTAATTCGATCAGATTCCTGGCGGTCCATCAGTGATCCAAAGCGTTCTGAAGCTCGCTTAATCCCATGACTGGTTTCCCGGCCGCCTAGACGACGCATTCTCCCCGTCCCAATAAAATGCTCCACATTCCCGTCAGGTCGAACTGACGGCTACATCAGTTAATGTGACAGGCCGGCGGACAGGCGTCGTAGGCGTCCCTGGGCACCGCTCACTGATTCCCGCCGCGTCTCCGGTCCGAGGGCCTCGCTCGCGCGCCGCGGTTGACACAGGGCTCGCTCGCGGGCCGCACCGACGCCGCTCACCGCTCACCGCTCACCGCTCTCACTGCCGCACACGCACCGTGACGACTGGCGCCCGGCCGGCGCCGGCGCCGGCGGTCGGCGGTCCTTCCGCCAGGCGGCGTGCGGGCCCGCCCCCCCGCCCCGCCCCCTCCCGACGACGCCCTGTCCCTGCACGGGCCGTAGCCGATGGCCCGCCGTCCAGGGGCACGCCATCTGACGAGAAATACCCACGAAACACTGCAGACACCTGCACTGTAGCAGAAGTGTGGGAGTCTTTGTGACGCGACGTCAAAAGCCGTTCTTCACCTGGAGCATCGGACAGCCAAAGGCCAGCATCGCATCACTTCCGACAAATTGCAGCTCTGCACAAATGCCACCATACACGACATTTGTGCTGCCGGCCCCAGATAGGCGCCAGTCACGGCAGTGTACGCCATCGGCCATGCACGTCTCCTTCGCCGGACCACGCCATGGACGCCTGTCCAGTGTCACATCCCTGCCGGCCCAGCACCGCCGCTGCCCGCCCAGACTCGGGTGGCGAACACTGTCCTCACAGGGCACCAGCAGTCCTGCCGTCCGCCGACAGACGCTACGGTCGGAGGCTCGCGGCTCGCCGACCCCGACCGGCGGCGGCGGCGGCGGCGGCCGACAGCCGCTCGGCTCACCTTGAGCGGGCCCGAGTGGGGCGCGGCGTGCAGCGGTGCCGTCTGGAGGGGCCGCGAGACGGCAGCCGTGCGCGCCGCCTGCGTCGGGCGGCGCCCGATCCTATCACCGGCGGAGGGCGCGCCGGCCGCTGACGTCAGGCCTGCCGTCACGCGGCCCCATCCGGGCCGGGCCGGGCCAGGGCCGACAATGGTGCGAGGTCCGGGCCGCGCCAGGGCCGACACTGGTGCGAGGTCCGGGCCGGGCCGGGGCCGACACTGGTGCGAGGTCCGGGCCGCGCTAGGGCCGACACTGGACCGAGGTCCGGGCCGCGCCAGGGCCGACATTGGTGCGAGGTCCGGGCCGGGCCGGGGCCGACACTGGTGCGAGGTCCGGGCCGCGCTAGGGCCGACACTGGACCGAGGTCCGGGCCGGGCCGGGACACTGGACCGAGGTCCGGGCCGGGCCGGGGCCGACACTGGTGCGAGGTCCGGGCCGCGCCAGGGCCGACACTGGACCGAGGTCCGGGCCGGGCCGGGCCTGGCCGGGACACTGGACCGAGGTCCGGGCCGGGCCGGGACACTGGACCGAGGTCCGGGCCGGGCCAGGGCCGACACTGGACCGAGGCCGGGCGGGACGGGACACTGGACCGAGGTCCGGGCCGGGCCAGGGCCGACACTGGACCGAGGCCGGGCGGGACGGGACACTGGACCGAGGTCCGGGCCGGGCCAGGGCCAGGACACTGGACCGAGGTCCGGTCCGGGCCGGGCCTGGCCGGGACACTGGACCGAGGTCCGGGCCGGGCTAGGGCCGACACTGGACCGAGGTCCGTGCCGGGCCGGGGGCCGACAATGGACCGAGGTCCGGGCCAGGCCGGGGCCGACACTGGACCGAGGTCCTGTCCGGGCCGGGCCTGGCCGGGACACTGGACTGATGTCCGGGCCGGGCCAGGGCCGACACTGGACCGAGGTCCGGGCCGGGCCGGGGCCGATATTGGACCGAGGTTCGGGCCGGGCCGGGACAATGGACCGAGGTCCGGGCCGGGCCAGGGCCGACACTGGACCGAGGCCGGGCGGGACGGCTCGCATTTCGCGCCGGTCACGTTGCCGACCGACTGCTGCCTTTTTATCGCGGCCGCCATGGCTGACTCATGTGTGCCCGATATCTGACGTTATTGGATCCACACGGCGGCTGCGGCGGCGAGTCGCGCCGCCAGCTCAGCGGGCTCGACATGGCACAGCGCACCACGTGACCGTATGTCATGTCTGCCTGGGCCCGCCACCTTGTCACGGTGCGCTACGGCACTGCACGACGGGGCAGGACACGGCTCCCCATCATGCGACACATCTTCGTATCTGACCAGCGGGCTGCAATCTTCTGGACTCGGAGGCGTCCGGGGGCGTGTGCACATCATCAACAGATGGTTGTCTGATGGCATCGATTGATAGAACGCAGCCTCATCTCTGTATTCATTCAACCAGCTGGAGTCTGCTCTCACAGGCTGTGGGAAATACCCGCCGCTAAGACGACTGATGGGCGTTAGACGACTGTGGATTACACATCAGCCATCACTCAGCCGCCCGATATGCAGCCCCCGGACTGCGCGGGCGATCCCACGAGAGGTGGCCGTGGCCAGACATCTGGCCCTGGGGGACGCGCCCTGCCTCGTCCCCCGGCCGAGGCGAGCCTTGTGTCGAGCTCGGCCACGCGTCTGCCGGCCGGCCCCAGACGGACCTGGCTCCGAGCCGGGGCTGCCCGACAGCTGGCGCCCACGCCGCCCGGCAGAGGTGGCATTGTTGGCCGATTAGCCGATAGCCTTTCAATACAGAAGCCTGACAAACGCCCGGCCCCGACGGCCGCCGCCATTCAGCGGGCGCCGGACGAGGAGACTGGGAGACGGACCGGCATCTGATACACAGCCCCGTTCGTCTCACGGCGCCACACGGCGCCTGCGCCACGGCACCGGCTGCGTCGGCTTTTTGTAACTGAACAGGGCCGTGAAGCCAGGTAATCGCCAGGAATGGGGTGAAATGCACGCACCCGGGTAGGGTTCATAAGTTCTACTCGTTTTCACTGGATATCTTGGCGGCAAATTCGTGAACTACTGTAAAATGCCTCCCATACAAAATTTAAAGCGCAGGGAAGTACTAACAACACCGCGGGTGTTGTGATCAACCAACATCAACTTAGCACCCAGACTATTACGAGTCGAGCGCCCTTCAGCTGCCCTTCGCGGCCGCCAGACCCGTGTCTGATCCCGGCGTCTGGCCCGGCTCACCGACCTGGCACTCCTGCGATCGAGACACATCTCAGCTGGACAGACGAACTGATACGGTGCCAGCCGAGGAAACGGCTCTCAACCAGTAACCAGCTACAGTCGATTCCAGCCTCACGGGGCTCGCTTCGGCGTCCACCTGCAGCACCGACAGCCCAGTCTCTGCGCCTGGGTGCCCGACGGTGGCATGGTTACTGCGGCGTGATCGCATGCAGTGTGTGGATGCCCCCAGGGACCTACCTCGGCAGCCGGCCTGGCGGTCATACTTGTTCTCCTTGCAGCGGTCACAGTGTATCCCCTCGACGTTCTCTCGGCACTGCAAGGTAAAGGAAGGTCAGCCAATGTGCTGCTGTTGGTGTGGCATGCGCACAGTGAATTCTGTCCAGGCAAAAGTTGTTGTTCAACTTTCCTGCGTAACGTGGCGGCATTTGAAATTCAACTGAACTGTTGAAAATGAACACGCTTTACCGGGAGCTGAAACTTATCGCATCTTAATTTCATTTCGCAGCAACGTTCGTTTCTCGTGTGGTGCTGAAGTGCTGTCCCAGCGCATTGAACACAAAACATGGGTGACATGCAATCTTTCCAGCTCGCAACGGTCTCTAAAGGCACGAGCCACGCGGGCGCACCGCAGTCTGCAGTGACGGTCAGCGCGTGGCCGGTGGACGGGGGGGGGGGGGGGGGGTCTCCCAGCCCACTGAGTGTGTGGCGGGTGGACGGGGGTCTCCCAGCCCACTGAGTGTGTGGCCGGTGGACGGGGGTCTTCCAGCACACGAGTGTGTGGCCGGTGGACGGGGGTCTCCCAGCCCACTGAGTGTGTGGCCGGTGGACGGGGTGGTCTCTCAGCCCGCTGAGTGTGTGGCCGGTGGATGGGGGTCTCCCAGCACACTGAGCGTGTGGCCGGTGGACGGGGGTCTCCCACCCCACTGGGTGTTGGCCGGTGGATGGGGTCTCCCAGCACACTGGGTGTGTGGCCCGTGGACGGGGGTCTCCCAGCCCACTGAGTGTGTGGCCGGTGGACGGGGGTCTCCCAGCCCACTGAGTGTGTGGCCGGTGGACAGGGGTCTCTCATCCCACTGAGTGTGTGGCCGGTGGACGGGGTGGTCTCTCAGCCCGCTGAGTGTGTGGCCGGTGGATGGGGGTCTTCCATCCCACTGAGTGTGTGGCCGGTGGACGGGGTGGTCTCTCAGCCCGCTTAGTGTGTGGCCGGTGGACGGTGGACGGGGGTCATCCAGTCCACTGAGTGTGTGGCCGGTGGACGGGGGGGGGGGGGTCTCCCAGCCCACTGAGCGGCCCGGGCCACCTCGTGGCCGGAGCGGTCGGCTCTAACCGGTTCCCACTCTCCATAACTCGTGTGATATCTCGGCGTGGGGGCGGTTCAGGCAGTCGGGGCGTAACACACAACACCTGGCGCGGCTGAGGGGGCGCGCGAATCCCGCAGAACCATTATCGCTATGACCTCGACCCAGAAGAGCGCGCTGGCTATGCCCCCAGCATTGCGAAGCTGTATCTGTCATAAAGTCCGCGATCCCCAATCAAGAGCCGATTTGCTGGGCTGGGAGGAAAGTGCATCAAGGTCGCGCAATGTCGGCCACTTGACGCACAGCCGACGGAATGACAGCATTGCAAACATAACGATCTTCTCGGATAGGGCAATCTTGCCGACACCCCAAGATCCCAAGGTAAGCATAAACCGCATTCCCGAGGCCCTGACTATCTGACGACCCTATATCTTAAACGATCCAAATTAGGTGCCGTCATTTCGCAGCGCAAATAACACTGCATGAACAGCACAGCCAATGATTACCTTTGGCGCCTTTCTTTTGTTTCAGCTAATTGGCTCTGCCGGAAGGGACGGTGCAGGAGCAGCGGGCAAGCAAGCAACATGCTTCTCTCCTAACTAGGGCGGAGCACCGGGGCCGGCCGCCGAGCCGGCGCACGCGGCCGCGCTGGGTGGTCTGCCACATACCGGGCACTGGCCATCGGGGGCGCACTGCAGCTCCAGGGAGCCGATCGGGTCGCAGGTGCACGGCAGGCAGCCCTCGCGCGAGAAGCCGAACATGTTGACGGCGCACTGGTCACACTTGCGGCCCACCACGCCCTCTCGGCAGAAGCACTGGCCGCTGCTGATGTCGCAGCTGGTGTTGAACGAGCCGACCGGGTCGCAGTCGCACTCCTCGCAGCCCTGGCGACGGGCGGTCAGGTCGGGTCAGGTCAGGCACGGGCCGCATCACATCCGTCTTCATCGCGAACTTAACAACGGGAGGTCAGGCGAGCAAGTCGTGTCAGGTCCAGTCAGATACAGACCAGAAGACACTCCCTGCAATCCTGGCGGCAGGTCAGGTCAGGTCAGGTCAAACACAGACCGGGAAACAGCCAAACAGACCAGGAGACAGTCGAACTCCTAGCAACTTTGAAGCGTAAACATCATGTCATATCAGGTCACGTCAGGTCAGGTCAGGTCAGGTCGGACAAGCCCTGACGACAGGCAGGGTTACCAAGGTCAAGTCAAGCCGATCAAGCCAGGTCGGACCAAAAACAGACTGGACGGCTGTGTTCACTTTGGCGATTGAATGCCAGGTCAGGTCAGACACATACCGAATCACATCCGCACTCATAGTTTTGAGAGCGATATGTCAGGTCAATTCAAGTTAGGTTAGGTTGGGTCAGATCGTGTCCGGTCACACGCAGACCGGTCCACAGCTGCGCTCATCACTGCCCTGGCAGCCGGGGGTTAGGTCAAGTTAGGCCAGGGACCAACGCAGTCACAAACACTAATTTGGGCGGGTAAAAACAAAGGTAAAGTAAGCTAGCTAAGCAGGTAGTGTGAAGATAACTACGGCCAGCTAGTAGCGTTGAAAAACGGGGGGATACCCAACGCCACAAAGCAAACGCTCTCAGAAACAACATGAAATGAATGACCACGACCAAAACAACGACAAAATTTCGGCAACACAAGTGATGCAATACAGATAACGCGATTGGGGGCAGCCGCCTCGGGGAGGCTGCCGGCCGCCCGTGCCACCCCCGCCCACCTGGCCGCTGAGGATGTTCCAGTAGCCGTTCACGCAGCGTTCGCACTTCTCGCCGGCCACGAACGCCTTGCACTGGCACTGTCCGGACAGCTGGTCGCAGAGGTACGGCCCCTCCGGCTCATCCTCCAGCTGCGCGGTGCCCACCGGGTTACATCCGCAAGTGCGGCAGTCACCCTTGGGTAGCGCCAGAGGGTCGCCGAAGTAGCCTGGGGACACGCGAGGTGGCCATGTCGACTGGGACTGGCATTCCGTGTTTGTGCAGAGGTCACGCTCTCACAGCAGAAAGGCGAGATCGGTTTATTTGACCGTTTTAATTGTGCATGTAGAGCTGACCTCAAATGGCATTAGTTGATCACGGGAGGACAACTCAACTCTTATGTTCTCTTTTCGCTTCCTGTTCAGCCATTGTCGCGTAACGGTAGCTCACTAGGTACCGCATGAAGAGACGGCGGTCCCACCACACCGGGTGCACATCGCACCGACGTGTTGGTTATGTTTTACCACGAAACCCAGTTTCGTGGTTTCCACGAAACAGGTTTCGTGACCTTCAAAAACAAAACCAAAATCCTAATTTCTTATTTCAATTTTTTCAAAACCGGGTTTCGCGGACTGGCGCGGAGCGTAAAGTGCCATCCCACACACAGATTTTAGTCGGCTTTATCTGAGCGGATGGCACAATCCGCCGGCGTGGGCCGGGAGTGTCGGACTACGTGCCTCCTTTTTTATCGCGCCCGCGATACGTTCCTATCATATACTCCTGCGATGCTGCGCATAATTTAGGTCCTGTGCAAAGAATGTAGTTGAGAGCATACAGACCATTGGGAATTTATCACAGTATCTTTTGAGGGCAGGCTCAAGCTATCGCCTCGACGATTTTTAGGAGATTCCTGAACCACCCACTGATATTAGGAATGCAATTAAAGAGTTTGTATCTGTCATCAGTTGAGCTCTCCAAAGCACGTAAATAATGGCAATGCGCTAGTTCTTAAAACGCGTATAAAAAAATCACTGTGGTGGTCCGTGAAAACCGAAGAATGGCACACTTGTGATCACGAAAAAATGTCTCTGCACCGGTCTGATACCACTCAGCGCATAACATAAAGGCCAGAAGCAGAGCAATCTTATTTATTTAATTTCATTCATCGGAGAATGACAACACAACGAAGTTCATTATGTTCGTGCGCTGCCAAGCGCATTAAAAACAACTGCTTAATTTGTAACTTCGCCTTTATTGCCTGATCACAGGTGCGCGACTGCGTGACCGTTACGTGCACCTTTGTCTGGTCACGTGACGTCCTCACCATCTGTGCGGCGGGGGCCCCGTCCCCTTCCGTACCAGCCGGGACCGGTCGTGTCTGCGGCCGGCGGCGACGGCCGAGGCTGACTGCCGTCGCCCACGTGACCGGCCGGCGGAAGCGGAACCGATCGGGTCGGGGGCGGCGCCATGCATGAGATGGCGTATCCCTACGCGCCGCATACTAACGCCAGCCGCAAATGAAGGGCTCCAAATAAGGCGGCGGAGTACGCCGAGCAAGGTCCCGCCGCCAAACCGGTCGCCGCGGCCCCGGCGGAGCGTCGTCAAGGCGCTTGGCAACGCTGAGCCGGCGCGGCGCGTCGCCGAGACGCTTTGTCATCCGTGAACTAAGCACGCTGACGTACCAGACACGGGCGAGCCGCAGATATATTCGCTTAGTAGGTAGCTGAAGCATTGGTGATCTGGTTACTACAGTGAGCGACAGCAAACTGGGTACTCTGTGGGCACTCAGCGTGGCGAGCACTGTCTCGTCCAGCCAGGTGTGCATCAGGCCTGGTTCCGCGGTTTCAGCCGAAAATAACTGGGCGATAAGTCAGCCTAATCGACGCCCTGAGCTGAGGGTTGAGTCGAGTTGTGTTTTGTGTTATCAGGGCGCTGTGTTTGGATGGTGGGAAAAGGGGGCCGACGCCTGGCCCTAGTGGCACAGCCCGCGGTCCGGCAGGCTTTGGACGCCGGAAAAGGGGGCCGACGCCTGGCCCTAGTGGCACAGCCCGCGGTCCGGCAGGCTTTGGACGCCGGAAAAGGGGGCCGACGCCTGACCCTAGTGGCACAGCCCGCGGTCCGGCAGGCTTTGGACGCCGGAAAAGGGGGCCGACGCCTGGCCCTAGTGGTACAGCCGCGGTCCGGCAGGCTTTGCACGCCGGAAAGGCCTGGAGAACTGCATAAGAAGTCGGAACTGGTCCAGTTTGCACTCAGCAGCTGCGTGTGGTGCTGATAGTGGCGCGGTCGGCGGTGGGACGCCGCTGCCGTAACAAAAGAGCGCCAGCCGGTACTTAACACTGCACTAAAAGATGTTAGCAACAAACCGTATTAGTAGCGCACGTGACGACGCCAGCCTTACGGCCTGGGCCGCGGCCTTAAAACGAACTGCAGACTAATTCGCCTATTTACCAGCCGTGTTCTCATGACCAACAGCTCCATCGCCATCGCCAGGGGCGGCGCTAAGGAGGGGGGGGGGGGGACCCGTTCCCTCTACCTTTGGTTGGGAGCGGGCGGTGGCCCTATCCTGACACCCTTCTTGCAATATAAGATCTATTTTTTGCACAGGCTTTCACTAAGGGGCCCCTGCCAGCAGCTTTTCCGCAATTAAGTTCCCTCACATCGATGGGACGGCATTGCTAGAAATACCAGCACGATGCTGCTAGGACTCCAAAAGGCCGCTTGGGTATTTTCTCCTATAGTGGCAGAGCACATTCAATGACGTTGCCTTCCGTGCCTAGAGTTTAAAGCTGGATTACGAGGTGACTGGAGCATCACCTGCCTGCAACCTATGTATATCAGACATTTTTGAAGGGAAAGGTGAAAAGTGGTCAACGAATTTAAGTGTACCTACGCACTGCGATGCTATGTCCTTAAATCCCTAGGTACAGCTACTGTTTACTTACGCTCGCGTCAATGCAAATCACCTTTCATCGTCCTTTCACTGTCGTGTTTTTGCGGGAGCATTAGAACGCAAATAGACTCAGCCGTGCAATTTTGCGTATCCTGTCTGTTCAATGTGCAGCTTGAAACATTCCAAATATACGTGCCTTGAATGATAGCGTCATTATACAATATCTTCTTTACCCATCACCGTACTAGAGGGACTGGAAGGACTGACTAAACGGACTGGAGTGTACTGTGGCTCTATTATAACTATATTTTAATATGGTACAACTATATTTTTGGAAAAAATCGCCTTTCAGTGGTTTTTGGTATGATTATGTTTCTAGTTGAATTGAAGACGGGGTCCAGTCAGACTAGCCAAACTAGTCAGTGGTTATAGAAATTATTGCTCGTCATGTTTCCAGGGCTTATAAAAAAGTGGCGCAACGGAGCGACTTAAAATCTGTAGTAGTAGCCTTTTATGTTTCTCGTTTGCACCAGGGGAATCATTTGAAGTTCCAAGCAGGTAACCGCGCCAGCCGAGGTCAGCCTGAGGTCAAAGCCCAAAAATTAGAGCTCTGATCACTTGTTTAGGCACGGAGAGATTCGGTGAATATTACAGGAGCGTCCGATATATGCAGACATGATCATTTATTGGTCAATTTTTTATTTAAGCATTCTATGCAGCTAAATGGCTTTGATAGCTATGGCTATGGCTATGGCTGATGGCTATGGGTTAACTCGCAACGCAGTGGTTTTCAGCGAATATCCCGGCAGTGCCTGGCCGAGTTGCCAGGAGCCAGCTTTACAAGTTAGAACATTGCCTCCGAGTGACCAGATCGGTGTGTTTTATACATTCCAATTAAACACATCGTAACAGGTTTAATATCTTTCGTTTCCCGAAACTTAAAAAAAACATAATCTAAGTTTTTAAATAACATTTTAAAAGAGCCTTGCCGCCTAAATGCGAGCCTTCTAACTGAATGGATTTCTGGGATCAGAGCTCGTGCTAATCAGTGCTTGTTGTGTGAGCCCTGACCTCTACCATTCGATCGCGCAAATCCAGGCAACGGCCGAATTTAGCGGCGAAAGTTTAACGTGTCGCAATGCTCGGCACGGTCCGTCCCGCTCTCTGACGTCACCTGACCTTTTGAAACCGGCGTTGAAGCCTTACCGTGGCTGTGAGGTAAATAGGCATGAAAACATTACCCAGCGAAGCCTGTTGCAAAGTACATACACGCCTTAAAACTGCAGTACATTATATGCCCAATTGGCTTAGATGATACCCTGCGCTGCGCTGGAAAGTCAGCATACTGCAATAAAACAATCCCTGCCGGTATGGTGCAACGGACGGCCTTCCACTTTGGGAGGGAAGAGGATGATGGCCGTTAGGTCAACTCTCTCCAGTCAACACCCGCCAGGTCAATGTTAAATTTTCGGAAAATTGTGGGTCTCAGTCCCTGCCTCCATCCCCGGTCTCGCGCCCCTTGCCTTGCGGTGGTGCAGCGCAAGACACGTGAGGAGTTTGCATAGCAATGATCATTTATGAAAATGCCAGCTAAACGCATGATTTGTCATCCATTTTGTCATCCCAATTGTTCTGATGATTTTACGACTTCGCCCCCCCCCCCCCCCCCTATTAAAAACTGTTGTCGCCGTCCCTGGTCACCGCTGCTCTGTAACGTCCCGGAGAGGCCACCGGAGGTTCCGCGGCAGTCGGGGGGGGGGGGGGGCGAGCCGCATTACTGGCACTCATCCGACCGGGAGAGGTCGCCAGAGGATCTGCAGCAGTCGGGGAGGGGGCAAGACGCATCACCGGCACTCATCCGACCGGGAGAGGCCGCCAGAGGATCCGCAGCAGTCGGGGAGGGGGAGAGACGCATCACCGGCACTTACCCGGCAGGCAGCGGTCGCCAGAGGTTCCGCGGCAGTCGGGGAGGGGGAGAGACGCATCACCGGCACTTACCCGGCAGGCGGCGGTCGCCGGACGTCCCGCAGCAGTCGGAGAGGGGAGAGACGCATCACCAGCACTTATCCGGCAGGCAGCGGTCGCCAGAGGTTCCGCGGCAGTCGGGGAGGGGGAGAGACGCATCACCGGCACTTACCCGGCAGGCAGCGGTCGCCGGACGTCCCGCAGCAGTCGGAGAGGGGAGAGACGCATCACCGGCACTTACCCGGCAGGCAGCGGTCGCCAGAGGTTCCGCGGCAGTCGGGGAGGGGGTGAGACGCATCACCGGCACTTACCCGGCAGGCAGAGGTCGCCGGACGTCCCGCAGCAGTCGGAGAGGGGATAGACGCATCACCAGCACTTACCCGGCAGGCAGCGGTCGCCAGAGGTTCCGCGGCAGTCGGGGAGGGGGAGAGACGCATCACCGGCACTTACCCGGCAGGCAGCGGTCGCCAGAGGTTCCGCGGCAGTCGGGGAGGGGGTGAGACGCATCACCGACACTTACCCGGCAGGCAGCGGTCGCAGCTGAAGCCGGCCGTGTCGTGGATGCACTTGAGGCACTCGCCGCTGGTGCGGTTGCAGTTGCCGACGGCGTTGGGGTCAACGTTGCCGTTGCAGTCGCACTCTCGGCACGGCATCTCGTTGTCGGGCTCGCCGAACCAGCCGTCGATGCAGATGTCGCACTTGTGACCTGAACGCGGGCGGCACGCCGTCACCACACGGTGCGCGCGATGCAGACGGCGGCCAGACGGCAGGAGCGGCCACCAGAGAGCTGACCCCCTCTGGCCATGCTACTGCCCACAGTCATATCTCCGAACTCGTCAAGTGCGAGGACAACGACAAACGGGGCTACAGTTATGCGCGACAAGCGGCAAGCTAAGCGCAACATAAATAGATCGCTGTTTGTGATCGTTCACTGGAAAGGACATGCATTCTTACCACTCAATATTTCCGCTACGACGGTGGGAGGTGAAATTATCCTACCACTGCTCATAGACGTCAACGTATCGCCTTTCGAATCCACAAAACCCAGCCTGCCCTTCTGTATCGAGAATCCCAAACCCAGCCACCCCAGCCTCCGCTATCCGAGGCTGGTCCGACGGCGCCCGGCCGGCCCCACTGACCGGTGTATCCGGTGGGACACTCGAGGCAGGCGACCGTGTCCTCGTACAGCTCGATGCAGGCGCCCTGGCCCGGGCACGGACACGGCTTGCAGTCGTCCGGCTCGCCACCCAGCGCGTTGCCGTAGAACCCGCGGGCGCACAGCTCACAGTTGTCCCCAGCCGTGTTGTCCCGGCAGATGCACTTTCCTGGGGGACAGGGCGCCGGTCAAATGTGCGTTCTCGGGCGCTGAAGCCGTCTACGAAAGTGGGATACGCGGTTATTTGTGCCTGGTCATCACGTCACATCTTAAAGATCGCTTACAGGCAGGGGAGCGTCTGTCGTCCATAGCATTCCATTCAGCACAACATCGGTTTCAGGCTCTGTTGCGTATTTTAATAAGATTTTCAGGGAAAAGTGGCACAGGATTCGGAAAGGAAACAGTTGGCCGGCGTCAAACGCAGGCGGTCGGTGTCAGTTGGCAGTGGGCATCACTGCGTATAATACACTTTCAAAAAACATATGAGCCCAGTGGTACTTAGCATCATCTACGCACCACTCTATGCAAGTTTTAAACATGGAGGGCAGAACAGGTTAAATCAATACCTGGCTGGTTTCAGTTCACCACTCTCGACTAGCTTTATACATTAAGCGTAGCTGGCATTAGAGTCCAACATGCTTTCAGCGTTTTATTGAAGAGACAGTGTGCCTCTCTTTTCAAGCATCATTTCTCTGTTTATGTCAACGATACAACGATATGCAAGTATACACAGACTCAGTTCCGTTACCAATCCTCTAGACTAAAACAGCACCTAAAACTTCCCACATCTCGGCCCCACCACGAGCCGAGAGTCGGTCATCAGACCCAAGCACCAAAGACGGCCCAGGGAACGCCCTCCCCCGAGACGGCCCGGGGACGCCCTCCCCCGAGACGGCCCGGGGGACACCCTCCCCCGAGACGGCCCGGCAGACACCCTCCCCCGAGATGGCCCGGGGGACACCCTCCCCCGAGACGGCCCGGCAGACACCCTCCCCCGAGACGGCCCGGCAGACACACTCCCCCGAGACGGCCCGGGGGACACCCTCCCCCGAGACGGCCCGGCAGACACCCTCCCCCGAGACGGCCCGGGGGACACCCTCCCCCGAGATGGCCCGGGGGACACCCTCCCCCGAGATGGCCCGGGGGACACCCTCCCCCGAGACGGCCCGGGGGACACCCTCCCCCGAGACGGCCCGGGGGACACCCTCCCCCGAGACGGCCCGGCAGACACCCTCCCCCGAGACGGCCCGGGGGACACCCTCCCCGAGACGGCCCGGCAGACACCCTCCCCCGAGACGGCCCGGGGGACACCCTCCCCCGAGACGGCCCGGCAGACACCCTCCCCCGAGACGGCCCGGGGGACACCCTCCCCCGAGACGGCCCGGCAGACACCCTCCCCCGAGACGGCCCAGGGGACACGCCAGCCTGCCTCAGCGTCAGCCGTGCCGCAGGGTTCACCTCTGCCCAGCAACGGCCGCCGCCGGCGCCGGCGCCGGCGTTGGGGGCGGCGGCGGTCAGTGAAACGCGAGCGGCGAGCGGCGGCGAGCGGCGTCGCCAGCGGTGCCAGCGGTGCCAGCGCGGCAGCCCAGCCCGGCCGACATTCACCTGCGTCACACTGTGCCGCCGACTCGGCCACTGTCTGCCGACGCGGCTAACGCGATGGTCTGAGCAGCAGACGGCCGGAGCGTGAGGGCGCGAGCGGCGGACCCCCCAGACAGCGGCGCCGCGCCGGCCGGCTGTTTGACTCCGCTACCCGGGCGCGCAGAACTGCCGCACAACTGGCCACTAAACCAGCCAGACGCTCGTAACCGGCGCCAAATTAACGGGTCGGAGGGGATCGCCGCCACTCCGAGGCGCGTAATATCGGCCGCAGCGCGCCCCTGATGACCGCGTCCCGCGCGCGGTGGTGCTAATCGGGCACCCGGGGCCGGCCGGCGCCGCTGCACGGTGCGGTCGGCGCGTCCCATTTCCATGGTGACCGATCGGGCCGGCGCGTCCCGCTTCCATGGTGACCGGTCGGGCCGGCACGGCCGCGCAGGTGGCGCGCGGTGTGTGGCGACGGCACGCCGCCGGGGGGGGGGGGGGGGGGCGTCTGCACACCAGCCTGCTACCAATGACCCCATTCCGACCACCCGCAGCAAAAACCGGGCAGATGAGATCGATTTAAAGACGGCTGGCACACAATACGTCACGCGACGGACGTCTCCCACGCGTTCGGTGCGGCGACGCAGCCAAGGCCGACAAAAAGCCGGCGACCAGCACGCATACGCGGGTGAAAATCACTCGCGCAACAGCTTATGGGTTTTGCGAATGAGCTTTGAGCAGTGGTTTTTCTCCTAATGGCATTCCAACATGCGTCATTTAGCGCCGAGTGCGGTCGGAACACGTTTGGCCACTCAGCGCCCAAGCGGTGGGTGTGAACGGGTGCTGGTGCGGGTGTGGCCAGCGGTGACCGCACCACCCTCGGCGTCGGGAAAAATTTCGCTAACCAAACGTGGGAACTTCAGACTCATAATGCCGAAAAGGCTCACACGAAACATCAGTTATAAGCGGCAGAACTTCTACGCGCCATTCCAACACACGCAAGAACTTCTAATGCATCAATTTCTACGCGATCGATACTCCGATGTAATAACTTCTACGCGACGATCTACACCCCTCGGCAGCAGTGGCGAGGAATAATACCTCCGACCAGGTTGATCGGCAGACTCAGCGCAGACGATTAGCAAATAATGGAATCGGCGGGTCACATAGCATGTATACGACAGAATGCATTAACACCCCGGTGTACATTAAATGGTGTATTCTCTTAGACAAATGATAACTAATATACAGACAGATATCACCATACCCGATAACAAATGAGCAGCAAATCCAAGTTTGCATCACCTTTTAAGCTGGACGCTGTATAATAAGTAAGGTTGCTTATGATTTGCATCCCGCTACTGTAGTTTTGGTGGATCATGATGTTTTGGCCCCTTTGCAGCCTGGCGATAATCCTCACCTGATCGTGCGAAAAATTCGTGTCCGCCCACTGGGTTGGAGAAGCTGACTTAAAACACAAACACCAATATTTCCAGCAAAGAAAATCTTCATGCATAAACAATGTCCTTCAAAGCACACTCATCCGTCTGTGCGATAAAATAAGCTCATTTCATCCTTGTAATACACCTGGTGAGTTCTGCCCATGACTTTGGCGATGTCGTTCGCGATGCCACCATCACTGATGGTGCCCCGACATCCTAGTCGTCGACAGTGGCATCCCCGCTGGTGCCACCGCTCGCGTCGTTGCTGGCTGTGTCACTGTTGCTACAGCTCGCTGCGCTCGTGCCGCTGCTGGCTGTGTCACTGCTGTTACAGCTCGCTGCGCTCGTGCCGTTGCTGGCTGTGTCACTGCTGTTACAGCTCGCTGCGCTCGTGCCGTTGCTGGCTGCGTCACTGCTGTTACAGCTCGCTGCGCTCGTGCCGTAGGCGATGTTGGTTGCACACCCTGTCCGCACAACAATCTACTGTGCGCCGCAATCTTGTATCAGCCGCCACGCAAACAATGCGCAGATTTCATCCGGCCTTTCCTCGGTTTAAGCTCAAGAAGCCGAGTAGTGTCGGTTTCATGGCAGTTGTCACGTGAAAATCAAACCAAAACTGCTGAGCACTAGCTCGGTATCTGCAGAATGCATCTAGTGAATCTGAACCTTAACAATCAACGTAAATTGAGAGTAAATCCAATTCGTCATTTTTCCGGGATCCGTACAAAGCAAAACTACAGTTTGGGGTTAGTGCTGTTCGCGGCATCGCCTTCACTGATGATGTCCTGCTGTCATCCGCTCGTGTCGCCGCTGGTTCTACCGCACGTGTTGCCGCTGGTTCTACCGCCCGTGCTGCCGCTGGCCGTGTCACCGCTGTCACTGCTCCGATACAATAACTGAGCAGAACTGGAGTTGCTGAACAAATTCAGTTACAGTTCAGCCATGCAGCACAATTTGAGCAGACGGCGATTTGCGTTTCCTCAATGCCCTCATAAAAGCGGCTAGTTTTGCTTTTATGAGAGGCCCAATGCAACAATTAAGCATGAGCTAATCAGCATGTACTTTGACCGCGTCAGAGCAAGAAGCCAAATGACAGCCTTCAACTCGACGACTGATAGGTTGTAAAGTCAAGACTGGTCGGTTGGATTGGTCAGTTACCAAGAGTTTGAATGCCTCACACGTCACAAGTCTCTAATGAGAGACCTCGCGGTCCGACTAAGTACTAGAGAACTAAAACTGATCGGTTGGGGAGGAAAAACCGACTAAATTGATGGCTGTGATGACGTCACATGATTCAGCAGCCCTTGCGATGCCACCATACGCCGCCTATGCCATACCGCTGAGCATGTACCAAAATTACAGCCTTCGCGTTTTAACTGCGCACAGTAAACCCAGTGGCAGCGAAATTTTAAAAATTTGCAAAAGTATTTGCATAGGAATTCATTACGTTCTTTTACCGCACATGCATGGTACTTCTGGTGCGCAGTGCCAGCTTTATTACGTTACGATGCAGATTAGACAATACACGAAATGGAAAATGTTGACAAGCGTTTCTCGCAAAGTGTAGCCCAGTGCGAAAAAATGTGCATAAGCGTCGTGAATCTCTAACTGCCAGGATATCCACCAGCTGCAATTGTCGAATCTCGTGATCTCGGTTTTGGGAAAACCCCAGGATCGAGATTTTAAATCAGAAGCAGCGTCGCGTGTAAGCTGTTGCCACGTACGCTTTGTCGCGTGGAAGCGATATCGCGTCAAAGTTTTTGCGCTGGAAAAGTTTTCGCACGGCTTACAGGACTTGCACTGTACGTAATGTACGTAGCAGTGCGTTCGTTACATAGACGTTCATGTTTAGGCAGTTTTTGCATTTGAAATGATACCATGCAGAACTTTTTGTACTCAGTCTTTTGCGCACAATTAATGTTGCAGATATCTTGTTCGTTGCGTAGAACTGACATGTTCCTCTGGAAGTTGTCACGTATCAAGTTAAGCGTTGAAGCCTTTTTCATAAAAAGAAGCATGGCGAAGAAGTGTTTGCACTACAAGTCTTATCTCGTAAAAGCAATATAGCGCAGGAGTTTCGCGTCATAAGTTTGACCGCGGAGAGGTCGTGTCGCGGAAGTTCTGTCGTTAGCAGGATTTGCTTAGAAGTGTTGTGGACACAGCGTGTCGCCCGGGCTACCGTACCGCTCTCCGCGTCGCAGATGTCGGCGTGGCCGTTGCAGTCGCAGGCCACGCAGCGGGCGAACGCGCCACCGTTGGCGGGCTCGTGGCGGAAGCCGGGCTCGCAAGACTCACAAAACTGGCCCACGTACCTGAAACACGAGAGGTATGCCTCACCAAGCGCACGTCTAGCACGAAGGCACGCGCTACATTTGCAAACATGTGTTGTTTCGCTAGAGGTGGCGTCTCTAAGGCTAACGAACGCTGCAGGTCAGCGTCGCAGCCATGCGGCGTGCCCCCGAAACAAATTTAGCCGTTAACATACCAATAAATGTTTCGCACATTAGCAGCAACGTCAGTTACCAAAACTCAACTAATCAACATATTTTTTATTTCATTTTTATTCCATTTATTAGTATCTTTAATTTATTATTATTATTATATGGTAGTTCAGTTTAATTTCAATTCAACTCCATTGCAATTCAAGTATTTTCAGATATTAGTGATTGGATCAAATACTCGTGAAGATCAATTCAACTGTGGACAAATTCATTCAATTTTATCAACGGATAGCGGCTGAGACAACCAATGCGCAACGATTCCTGTGAGTCCTGAGTACTGGACTCCTGGTGGTGAATAAACCCTGACTCTTGATACCCATGAACAGTGACCCCTGTGATCTATTCAGGAATTAATTCAGGACCCCTGAAATAGAGCAGTCTGAAAGCCGTGGTCCATGGTCAGCGAGAGACGGCTGTGTCCGTTGGGGCTGACGGGACAGTGTCGTACCCCGGCGGGCAGGTGCAGGTCTCCACCCAGGTGGCCTCTCTTCCCCGAACACCTCGCCGGGCAGAAACCATCGAGAAATCTTCCAGGAAGCCAATGCCTGCGAAAACAAGGCACAGCGGGGTTAGAATATATGCACAATTTCGGTTGCCCTGGTCCAGATACACCGGCAGTCATGCAGGTGTTTTAGCTGCACGACACTACTTCGATATTTCGTCGAAAACTTTGGACCGATCGATATCTCCGGAACCGTGGATTTTCAGCGAGCAACAGGTGCACAATGAACATTTTCTTCGCAATAAACAAGCTGATTACAACGAATGGGTCAGCGCATAGAGCCTGCTCTGAAAGCACAGACAAGGAATTCGACAGATACTTAGCTTCTCTTTTGAGCTGGTGACATGCTCTTCGGCAATTAACGCCTAGTTTAATATTTCAGACTCAAGCCACACTGTGCAAAGTGTAAATGTCGTAAACAGCTTAGAAAATCGCATAGCAAAGGCGGGCTCTGGAAGCGAAACCTAAGCAGATCTCAGCATAACAAACACGCCTGGATCGATAGTTGTACCCAGCTTTTGGTGTCTTCTGGATCTGCAGCGCGGAGAGAGGCCAATTGAGCCCCCCGCCCGCGATGAACGAGCACGGGTGTCTGCTGCGGCGCAGCCGGCGGCCAAGCGCCGTGTTCCCGGACGTGCCGCCCCTCGAGCTGTGCCGCCGCCACTCCTGCCTCGACAACTTCGTGCTGAGCGCCTGCGTGGCCAAAGCAGCCGACAACCTGGCGCGGCTGGACGAGATCCTGCGCCGCCAGAGGCTCGCCGACACCGTCAAGCGAAGCTACCGCGCCGCCTGTTCGAAGCGCCGCTCCGCCGCCGAGAGCGCCGGCGCCGGCGGCGGTGGCGGCGGCGGCGGCGGCGGCGAGGGCGTCTCCCCGGAGCGGCTCGTGCGCACGGGCGCGCTTCTTGTGGACAGCCGGCCGCCGTCAGGTCGCCTGGCCGAGGACGTGTACGGCCTGCTGGAAAACCTGGGCACGCTGGTGCGCCGGCTCGAGCGCGACATCAACAAGACCTGGACGCGCATGCAGCAGCTGGAAGAGGCGACCGCGATGCTGCGGCGTGACATGCACAGCACCAGCAGCGGCTGCGAGCGCCGGCTGGAACAGCACGTCGGCCAGCTGTGGGACGACTGGCGCCGCGAGCACCAGCAGCTGCAACAGGAGCTGCGCCAGGCGCGACAGCAGAACGTGCAGATGCGCGACTCGCTGGCCGCGCTGCAGTGCCGCGTCGGTGCCATCGGCCAGCACGTGCAGGAGGTGCGCGACGAGGGCGGTGCGGTCGGCGAAGAGGCGCGCCGCATTTTCGCCGAGCTCCGCCAGTTGAAAAGGCAGCTGCGCGAGGCGGCGCGAAAACGACGCGAGGCGGCGCGCCGGGCCGGCCGGACACGCGAGCTGCTCGAACAGCACGAGTCGACGGTGCAGCTGCGCACACTGCAGCGCACGACACGCCGCAAGCGACTGCGAGACGAGGTGCAGGTGAGCCTGCGCGATGTGGCCGTGGTCACCAGCCAGCAGAGCGTAGCCGAGGTACGGCTGCAGGAGGCGGCCGTCGAGGCTGCCGACGCCGAGGCGCAGGTGACGGCCTCGCTGGAGGACCTGGAGCAGCCGCTGGCACGCAGTAACCGCTCGCTGCCGCGGCTGGAGACGGGCGCAGACCCCGTCGAGCCTGTGTACGTGGAGATGACGGACGCAGTAACGCAGATGGTGCACAAGCTGACGACGACTCGCAGCAGCGTCGTGCAGACGGAGCTTGCCTGTCGTGACGAGGCAGTGCAGATCGGGAAGCTGAGGCAGGTGGAAGCTGCCCTCAAGCAGGAGCAGGAGCAGCTCGAGGTGGAGATCGACGGCGTAAAGATCAGCAAGATCTGCAGCAGCCAGCAGATCCGGCGGAACGTCAACGTGATTACGGCGCGCTGCATCAAGGCACGGCGCCTCATCCATCAGAACATCGCCAAGTGTCTGGAGTCGGAGAAGGCGGCCGAAATTGTGCAGCCCGATGTCTTCGCACTGGAGCACGACCTACGGGATACCAAGGTCAAGCTGAAGAGCGCGCGGCACGAGGGGACGCCCGTCCTCATGAAGCTGGACCAGCTGCGAGCGCGCTACGAGGCGGAGGAAGAGGCAGAACGGGAGCGAATCGAGAGCGCAAAGCGCGAGTGCAACTACCACGGCGAGGTGCGACACGACCTGGAGAAGAGGCTGATAGACGCGCAAAACCAGCTGAAGCTGGAGCTGGAGCGCTACGAGCTGATGCTGGCCGAGCGCGAGCTGCTCGAGGAACAGTTTGAGGAGCAGTTCGTCGAGGTTCGTCCGGTGGTGGACCGTCTGAACAAGGAGAACGAACGCGCTCTACTGAGCTTAACCAAAATGGCACAGGAACGTAGCGCCGCCGACACGTTCATCGACAACTTTGGCGCCGAGCTGATGACGCAGCAGGCGGCCGCCACGTTCGCCGCGCAGCGCCAGGAGGCCAAGCTGTTCGAGACGGAGCGTCACGTGGAGCGAATGGCGAAAGGACTGGTAGCGGCGCGCCGCCAAGAGGCTGCCTATGCCGCCCAGCTGCGCCGCCTACGGCCGCTGCGCGCCCAGCTGGAAGAGGACATCGAGTGTCTGGAGAGCGAGCTGTGCTGGCGACGGGAAGTATGCAGCCAGCAGAGGGCGCAGCTGGACGAACTGGCCATGCTCGAAGATGAGCTGCAGCAGCTCAAGGAGAAGGCCAACATCCGGCACCAGCGCTTCTTCCGTCAGGCGCACCACAAGACCGAAGCGCTATGGAAGGAGTACATGCGCAGTGTGCGGCACAACGAGCAGCTGCGCACCGAGTACGCCGCCTTCGTGCAGCGCTGGCTGGCGGCGCGCATGAAGACAGCACGCCGGCTGTTCCCGCAGTCAGTGTGCCGCTCTGAGCTCTGCGACCGGCTGCAGGTGGTGCGGCTGGTGCGCGCCGGCGTCCAGGCCACCGACCACACGTTGGGGCTGAGGCACCTCTACTTCAGCGGCGAGCTCCAGCGCGGTCAGGCCCGGCTCGGCCAGCTGTCGGACGCCGTGCGCGGCTTCAAGGCCGACATCGTGCTGGCCAGCGAGCACGTGGTGCGCATGTTCATCGGCCTACTGAAGGGCGATGTGGCGTTCGTGCGCCGGCCCGAGCGCGAGACAGACGTGCGCGAGACGGCGGCGCAGACGGACGCGCGGCCGCCTCCGCAGGAGGACGCCGCTGGCGCAGAGCGCGGGAGGCGTCGCCGCCAGCGCGAGCTAGTGATGAGGGTGGCCGAGCTGGGCAAGGAGGACGCGCGCGGCTGTCAGCTGCCGGCCGTCAGGCGGAGCGCTGAGAAGCCCTCCAAGGGCGTCGGGAAGCTGCACACGGAGCCGCGCCTGCCCAAAATTTAGTCTTTAGTGCTGCAGTGGCAGCATCAGATGCCGGAACCGACTCACCCTCTGAGGTGTAGGTGCCGCGGATCTTGATGGCCGTGATGTTGCTGAGCAGGGAGATGAAGTCGCGCGCGCGCAGGCGCGGACTCCAGCCAAACTGCGAGTCCTCGTGCAGTCGGAACGTATACTCTTGACTCTGTGGGACGGACAGCGGCGAGTGTAAACGCGGTGAACTCAAGAGAGCCACTCCACTCGCACCACAAATGATGGATGCTATCAGTCTCTTCCAAGCCTGTGGTTAACGGTAGGGGTGCACGTCACGTTAATGGTACTTTAAACTGACATAGATGTGTAATTAATGTAACACATTCAAGACTTTAGTTGTATCATAGTTTGTACCACATTCCAAACTTATATTTCAGGTTCAGCACAATAGACAGAGCAATCCCAGTGTGAATAGAACTTACTGCCTGCTTAAGCCACCGCAACAACTTTGATTCGTCAGTTCAACAGCAATACCTTGCCAAACACCACCCAGTGTTTGGTAATGCGCCCCCCCCCCCCCCCCTCCCTTCCTCCACGGCGGCTCGCGGTGGCCGCGGCGGTCGGCACCTTCTGGTCCGGTAGCGCGTTCTCCTGGCCGAAAATGGGCTGAGAGATCTCCATGCCAGCTCCCTGCAGCACCACGTCTCGCACGGACGCCTCCGGACCGTACTCGCCGATCCGCAGCGTGAACAGCATGTCTTGGTTGTAGCTGGACCGCTGGTCACCCAGGAAACGATCTGCGGGGAGCAGCCAGAGTCAAACAGCAGGGGCGAGTGAGCACAAACAATGCGACTTGATCGGAAAGTGACAAACATCGAAGCGGTTCAGTCACATCTGCATAACTGTATTTCGATTATTGTGCTGCACGCTTGGATAAAACCCCTTTCCCTCGAAGGTTTATTCTCAATCCCAACGGGTCCCCCGAAAGATGACAACAACGCTAAATAACAACGTTAAATACCCACGGTCCATCCATCCCACTGAGGTCAAAAGCTCAGAAAAACAAGGGATCCAAACGGTTATCACACGGCTCTCAGCACACCATCGCTCCCATGTGTCAGTGAGCGCACCTGAGCACCGTCCGTGGCAGTGTATCTATGAAGGTGGCGTGTCAGTGAATGCGGCGTACTCACCAGGGGCGCTGAAGTAGACGGCTTCTCGACCCGGCGCGCTGACGGCGATCTGCTGCACCAGCGGCTTGTAGGCGTGCGCTACGGGGTCGCCGTAGTAGGTGGAAGCCATCCAGCCCTCATCACTGCGCACGAACTCTGTCTGCGACACCACTGCAGACAAACGGAAACTGTTAGTCAGAGAACGCCGGCCGCCCAGCCGGACGGTACGGTCCGTACACGCTCTACAATTACGACGACTGGTCCAACTGGGGATTTAGGCCCTGAAGACGAACGTACCGGCGAAGCTCAAAGACATCATTCCATTGGGGACCTGTCTGTCTATGCTGTTGGACAGGTACGAATGTACTAAGTGTCACTATCGCCACGTCACAGCCTCCCTAATTCACAGCGTGGGAAATTCAATTTTACTGGGAGGCAATGGTCCATATTAAAGACAATACGGCAACTGCTAGCATATCAAGACGGCGGTAAGTAACACAGACCACGGCCCTCATTATACTCTCACATGGGACCGGGCTGCCAGTGACCCACCCTCTGAGTAGCCCGTGGCCGCGTCGCAGATGGAGCTGTGGCCGTAGCAGAAGCACGGCGTGCAGCCGAACTGGTTCTCCTCGCTGATTGAGAAGAAACCCGGCTTGCAGCGGTCGCACATCTGTCCCTCGACGTTCTCCTTGCAGCGGCAGACGCCAGAGGTGGTCTCGCAGGAAGGCTCGTTGTCCAGCGAGCCGGGCGGGTAGCAGTTGCACTCGCGGCACCCCTGCAGGGGAGGGAGAGGGGCGCAGGGTGAAGGAGGACCGAGACCCCGGGACCACAGACTGGCACGGCTGTGGTGTGTGGAGGCTACCTGACATGTTCTTTGAGCGTTCTCCGTCGCTGTATAATGAAGCGACGGGGAGTGAGGCAGCATACGCATCAGCGCCACCTATTTGACGGCGCGGCGCGACGCGACCGCATCCCAGATGTCGCCCCTGCGCGGGGCCGGCCGGTGGAGTCGACGCTGCATTCTACAGGCACCACTCCCTGGCGGATCACGGGCTGAGATTGGATCGCCTGTCGCCTATCCCCATAGAAGGGCGCCAATGAGTCATGCCACCTGTCTGTCCACTTGCAGCCGCCTGATTCATGCATATGAGCGGCGACGAGGCAGAAGTCAGTCAAAACATCCGACACGAGACGGGGGGCCAGACCGGGCCGGACGACTAGCTGGCCGGGTGTCGGCCGCGCTCCGGCGGACACCGCACCTGCTGCGAGAAGTCGTAGAAGTTGTTCTCGCACCGGTCACACTTGTCGCCTCCCACGCCCGGCTTACAGGAGCACTTGCCGTTGATATTACACTGCAGGCTGCGCGACCCTGAGGCACATGGCACGCTTTTAGTTGGACGAATGACGCAGTGAGACCAGACGAAGGAGCCGGCGTCACGTTCCCTGTCACGGAACAAAATGTATGTACTCCCGTCCCACGACGTGTCTTTCGTTGCACCTTTAAAGATGGTGGTACGTCATTCTTACACAGGCACGTAGCAGCCAGAATTTGCCCCAGATGGGGCCAAATGTCAAATGGTACGCAATCGCTCAGTGCTAAGCACGACACCCTTGGCTCGGTGGGCGGGGGAATGGCCTTCTCCCCCCCCCCCCCCCCCACCCTGGGTTACGTGCCTGTCCTCACAACAAATGCATAGGACGTCGCTGAAAGCAGATTAATCACTCAAATAGAAATGAATTTCTTTCGTTGCAAATAAAGAAGGTTGTGCAAGATTACTGGTTGCAAGTCTTACGCTAACGTACATATCCAGATACTCAGCGAAAAAGCATCGATCATACAGGCATAAAAGGTGACAGTATTCAATCCATATGACAACCAGTGGAAAATATCCACCTTAAAACAACGAATGCAAAAACACAAAAACCCTCACATCGGATACTTTCTTTGCATAAAACACCATCCTTTATCTATATTCAGCTGACTTCAACTTTATCTAGACGGCTTCGGCGATGCCCAAGAGCGTATGGCACGTTTACCTTCTGGGCTGCAGGCGCAGGGGATGCAGTAGCCATCCTCCCTTTCGTAGTGGTTCTCTTGGCACCGCTCGCAGTTCACACCGTCTCTGGAAAAGAGCAACGACTGATGGATAGACCGGACAGTGCGTACCGGAGACCTCACAGAAACCGGTTCCGTGGCTGGAGCATGTCGGGGTAAAGGCCCCTGCCATATGATGCGCCTGCACTAATGTCATGCACTAATGGTGCCAGAGAATGGTGTAAATACAGTAGTATCAAATAACAACTAGCATTCTAGCATGGCTGGAGATCCCGTGAAGGGTCGGGAGGGGATCCAGGCCCCTATCCGAGGATCCCGGAAAACCAGAAATTCGATGGGTGGGGATTTGAAGGCCCATTGGGAGGGTCCTACCCAGCTCACACAGCCCGAGGATAGATGAGCATACTGAATGAGAAGCATTCAGAAAGGGTTTCTTTAGCAAAATAAAAGTTCCTACAGCAACACATTGCTCCCTCTAGATGCTCAGTAAAGCCCATGTGGCAACTTTAGGCTCCTCTGACCGTTCAGTGGGCTCTTTCTGGCCGCCAGGGCTCGCCGGCTTTTCAGTCCCTTCATAACACAAACCTGACCTTGGGACCAACCAAGGGCTCTTTGACCGCTCAGGGATTGCATAGTCCGCTCACGGTCCCTGTATCCTAAGGGCTCTTCCGGCCGCTCATGGACCGTTATAGCTGCTCAGAGCCTTTCGGGCCACTGAGGAGCTATTTATGCTATTGAGAAACCGATGGCCAGTGACACTCTCCTCCAACTGTTTAGGGAGGTAGAGGCAAAAGCCCGAATGTCAGAAAGCATATTCCGCTGATCGGGGCGCTCTGACAACAAAAGGGGATATGAAAGGGCCCGCAGTGAAGCAATGGAAAGTCCCGTGTCGCTCAGGAGGCCCGACAGGGGCACTCCATCTGTTTCATCTAGGGCCCAAATACGCCGAGCTGGGGTCCCTGTGTCATTTATCAAACTAGCTACGCCTAGTTGGGATCAAAGGCCTTTTCATGTCAGTAAGGGGCCTTGCATTCATCCAGTGTCAAGCATCCTGGTTAGAGGGTCCTCGGCGTCAGGGAGGGGACCAATGTATCAGTATTCTTCTGAGGGCCCTCGGATCCACCATGGGCCCCAGGCCCACGCGTTGCCAGAGCGGTGGTCGGTAGGCAACCCGGAATGGGACGGAAAAGCCCTCTAGTCCGCAATCGAAAAATGTACTGAGCCACCTAGTCTTGGCCAAAGGCTCTATTAGGGTCTAGCTGTTTGATGGTGGTGTCCGGGGACCCATGGGAGGGTTTTTTTCGGCTCGCGCGGTGAGACAAAAAAGGACGTGTTGAGTGAGAAACGCAAAGAAATTGCCGCACAGAAGTTAATTATTTGGCATCAGCTGACACCTCACATACATACGTGGCTATTACGTGTCATCAGTCTCAGAGATAAAGCAGCACGTGGAAAAAACAACAGAAAGTGATACGAGATAAAAACGCATAAACGGATCCACGCATGAACAGAATGAGACTACCCTAGCATAGAACAGGACCTGACAGCGCGCTTAAAACTTGTTCAGTTCAGTCGTCGGACATTCACAGGCAGCTCATCAATGAGAGAGGCCGCTCGGCATGCGAAGGACCTCTGTTCTGCCGCCGTGCACATCGCCGGGGCGCAGGTTAAACCCTACGCGTGTAGTTCGGTCACTGGTCCGCGCGTCAACGCGTGTTTGCAGCAAACAGGCAAGGCTCTCAGAAGATGCCATTGTGGCATCGGCTGCCCAGTCAGCCGCATCAAACTCGTGGGCCCCCTCTGACCGCTCAGTGAGGACTTCCTGGCCACTGACCAAGTCGCTGAGTGCTATCGTTTTAGAAAAAGTCCAATGAGCCATTGTAGCATGGATACCGCCAGCGTTTTATTCCATGCGGTCATTTGAACGCCTGGTTTCTTCAGTTTATTGACTTCAAAATACAAAAGGAAATTGCATCTTCCGATGAATTTTAGCTTATTTAAATTGAAAAGGAAAGCAATAACTAAACAAAGAAACTCGTGTCCCCTCGGATTCAGGTGGGCCTACATCCGTTTATTTGCGTTTAGGGGCTGGGGCTTTCGCCATCAGGGGGCGCTTCTGCCAACCCTGCGCATCTCCTCACCTAGACTGGATACGCCCCTGGGGACCGCAGTGTGCCCAAGGTCGTTCATGCGCCGTTTTAGCCCCTTGGGGCCCTTTGGTCCACAGATGACCCCTGTGGCCAGTGACGAGTTCTTGGCCGGCGGCATTTGCGGTGACAGTTCAGGAGCTTCACTAACCGCCCGGGGACCCTCTGGTCCCCAATGGGTACGTCTAATTGCTCAGGGACCCTTCTGGCTGCCTAAGTGTTCATCTGGCTACTGAGGGCCCACTGGCCCGTGCAGCGACCTGTTTGGTCGCCAGAGTTACTTAGCTGTGAACTCGCGATCCTCTGGACTCTCGGAGTCCTGTCATGCGCTCAAGCCAAGCGCCCTTAACCAAGGCCAAGAGCGCTCTTGGTCGCCCCTACCGCTTCCACGAGGAGCGAGACAAGGGCTGCTACGAGGCCCTGGTTCCTCATGAGACCTTCTGACTGCTCGTGAGCCGCTCCAACCACTGCCTCTCTTCCTGCTCAGGGACCTGTCTAGATAGTGATGGACCATTCTGTTCATCAAAGCACCCATCGGCAGCTGATATACCTACATGACTGTTCAGGGGCTCACTTGACGCTCAGGACGTGGCTGGATGTCTCGTAGGGCCCCGGAACCCGCCTGGCCCCAGACAACCTCATGGGCCGTTCGTCTTGAACCTGGGGCACCGAGGAGTCCAAAGTGGGGTGCGGGGGAGGTCCGAACCGGAGGTCCGGTGGGTCCGGTGGTTCCATAGGAAGGCTCTTTTCGGGCGCACGGCGCAAAGCAAAATGGCCCAATTGAATGAAAAATGAAACACGACGCTTTGTCGTCAAAATTAAACTTAAGGTAGCCCTGCTGTGCTGAAAGGCATGATAATAACCAGATCGGAGCCCTAGATTGACCAGGAGAATCCGGGTACAATCACATGAAACACTGACGTGTTTCGAGTCTCTTGAAAATGCTAATGATACTCGTCGACCATTCAACTCTAGTCTAAATAATTTTGGACGGAATTTTGCTTTTTGAAAAGTTGCTGCTGATACACATGATCTACCCTACATTCTCACGCATGTTAGGTGCGGAAAAGTACTGGTGACTTCCTCTGAGTTTTGTCAAGAATGTTAATAATACCCGTAGACGACCCAATTCCAATCTGATTATCCTGATGCTCAAGGAAGTGCAGAGGTGCTCGGCTTGTCTTGGCTGTATAAACTGACACCAAAACAAAAATGGATCCCAGTAATATTTTAGGCAGGGTTGCGCTGACGGAAGGCAGGCAAAATGTAGCAAATATGAACCACGTGCCAGGCTATCAGGCAGGCTAAGCGGCGACAGCGCGCTGAAGTAACACAAAAATGCGCTCCTTCGGCGTGTTAAAATGTGCAACGAAAGACGAGTTGAGGTTTTGTGTGGAAAGGGTAATAGAGTAGGATGGGCTCGGTATTTATTCGGTCGGGATAAATTGGTTTAATCACATATCGGGTAATCGTTCCAAATGCGAAAATCCTTAAGCTTGAGTCAAAATTGCGTGCACCTTCGGGAAGTAAAAAGGTGAAACAGGTTTCCAGCTACTGTGGGGCGCGCGCGCTCGTTGCTCATAAAGAGCTCCAGTAATTTTGTTTCAAAATCGAGTTCAGTGGGGCACTCTCAAAATAAAGTGGCTTAAAACCGCGGTGTTCTGAGACTGTGGCGGGGGGGGGGGGGGTGGAAGCGGGTTTTTTGCCTAACTGGGCCTCAATGGCTCCGGCCCCTAGATCTTGGGCACCCTATTTTCCGTGAGCGATCGCCAGCCCTGCACACTATCATAGTTTATCATGACCCGTCTAACCATATTAAACAGATGGCTGGGTGGGCTTCTTATAACCCCGAAATATGGTCACCCGGTGGGCGCAGCGGAGTCTTGTAGGCTATCATTCGACTGACGCATTAGCCGGCGCGGTCTAGATCTGCGCCGCGCTCATCGGCGCGACAGGCACTAGCGTCCAGAGCTGGTCCGCCTCACGATCTGTCTGCCTGATTGTGTGACTCGTCCACCTCGTCTTCTTCCCATCTTATAGGATACATAGCTCGCACCAGCTCGCCATCCACGCCATCCATTCAAGATTCAGGTGTTGTTAGTCATTCCTTGTTGGTTTTCTAATGCATTAGATTATCGCGTCATTGTAGCTTGCACGCAGCAGCAGCCTTCAATCCCCTGACTTGCGCACCCATCAACCTGGCCAGCAGGCGTACAATGTCGGGGGAAATCCAGCACGGCAGCTTGCAGATAACTCTGTGTGTCGAAACCTCCAAAAATGAACCCTCCAGCCTGCCCGTGCACTTGAATCAGTACTGCTTCCACAGCGTCATAGTATCACTGCCCCACCGCATTACCGCTCTGTTGAGAGCCCGCGCCAGTCACTGCTAGGCCTTCTATGAAAGCTTGAATAACAGATCGATGATCTGGAAGGGCGCGTGATAACAACATGGAACAAACACGCAACGGCATCCTTCAAGAGAGATCTGTGCGCATACGTACGTACTTAAAGAGCTAGTTGTATCTCATTTGTTAGACATAGGGTTTGTCAACGGGCTTCGAATTAAGGCGTTTCCCAGTGCCGCTTTTAAAGTAAGCATGCGATCATGAGGCGCATCTCTGCGGAGTTTGTACCCCATTAATGCGTTGCTTTAATATTCTCACATATGACCGACAGTAATACGAGCAGATGACATGGTCTGCAATGACGCCCCTGAAGGCTTTGACACGCAGAGACCTCTAACGGCTAACCCTGTCCGGATTGCCCTCACTGTCCGTCTGTCGGCAGGAGCTATCAGCATCCTGTCCGCCGCACCGCCCACCCGCTCATGCTCGACAGGTGCAGCTCACCGGTTGGCCACGCAGTCGGTGCAGTGGCCGCCGTGGCCCGTCTGGTCGAACAGCTCCTTGTCGAAGAAGCATCGGTTCGAGTAGCCGTTGCAGTTGCATGCTGCGAAAACCGACAACTATCAGTGACGTGTTCTCATGTTGAAAACAGCGTTTGGTTGCCAGCGATTGTAAGAACGACCTCGTATGTGGGATATTTACAATCCGGAGGGATGCAAATGCTTCCGGTCTTCGCGGCAAACGTCATCACTTCGCTTTATTTGCACTGGACATGGAAAACGGACTGATTTCGGAAACATCTTAACTCTAGCACACCTCAACGCACCTGTGACCACCAAATGCAGCCTTAACACGCGCACGGGTGGCCGGTTAGATACCCCCCGCTCAGGCGGCGGCGTCAGTTTGACCCCACTACGATCTCAGAAACTGAGACAGCCAAGGACACCGAATTCACAGGGTGTGTTGGCCTATACGTGAACTCACTTGGGTTAAAGTTTGAGGTTCCTAGGTCATACCCTTCAGGCCAAATAAGGTCAAACAAGGTCAAACTCTAGGCTGGTGTCCAAAGTGCCCCAGAACCTAGGTACTTGCTCTAAGCAAACGGTCTTATGCTCATTTAAGGTCAGTTACCTTGTTCAACCTTTCGAAGGTCATGGTGACCAAATTTGTACAAGCCTGCTTTGAGTTATCATTTGAATAAGCGACAAAGGCTACGCTAAGTAGTATGTTCCCGAAACAAAATGTCCACTTGGGTCATTTTAGGTCAGTGATCTATTATGACCTTTAAGAGGTCCATGGAGGATTCTAATGTGGTTCCTGTTACCGATAAACTCGCAATGCGCATCAGGAACTACTCCACACAACAAGCCCTCAAGCAATAAAACAGAGTGGTTTTGACCTTCATCTGCCCTTCGTGCCTGACCCTATGTCAAGGAACTTTGCTTATTCAATTGCTGTGTTGCCTACGAAAATATCTCAGAAATGTATCGCTTCGTCTAACACACTTTTGTTGCATCAGACTAAACGATTCCCTAGAAACTGTCTTCACTGGATTCAAGGCTTGACTTTGACATGCCGCGGGTCAGCGACCTTACGAGATACATCTAAATTTTTGACACCAAACGACCCGTTATAAATAGTTGCCGACTACCAAATTTGGCGCGGCTTCGCCACGCCGTTCGGAAATCATTCCGGAAAACCTTAGGAAGCGTCAATTGCCCCCCCCCGCCCGAGCGCGTGTAAACGAGCGTGCTGAGTTACCGCGTCACATCACGCCACCGATCAAAGAAAACGTTTCTTCAAACTGGTGACAGAGGACTTGAACTGTCAGCGAACTTCCGCTCGATTCTCCACCCTTCAATCCTCCAACAGGGCGCACCTTCGAGTACACCACCCCTGCCTTGCCACAGGTCCGTGCCTGCCGCCGGACGCCTCGCGGCGTCCAGCGCCGCCGCCCACTGACCCTTGCACTCGCTGGGGTCGTCGGGCGTGGCGCGCTGCCACGGCACGTCGTTGTAGAAGGGCAGGCAGCGCTCGCAGTCGGCGCCGGCCGTGTTGTGCTGGCACTGGCACACGAGCCGCTCCTCGCCCGACTCGCTCGAGCTCGGCACGCAGTTGGACGCGTGGCCGTTACACTTGCACGTGCCTGGCGGCAGGCCGCGCGCGGGGTGGTGTCAGCACGGCCGGCGCGCCGCAGTAGCCCGAGGGCAGACGTGGCCAGACACTTTTGGTGAGCACCCGATACCCGGTGGCGTATACCCGACTGAGTTTGCCACCTGAGGCACTTGGCCTAACTGGGCATGCACATTCATGGTGAGCCACATGATTATCACATGGTGAGGCGGCTTCCTCGACCAACAAGGCCGCTGTTCATTCTAAAGTGCACTCAACACAACGCCCTGGAAGCGCTGGGACTCCCCATCACGCCCAGCCTGCCCGCCTGACCCCGGCAGCTCGCCGGCCTCTTGCGGGGCGGCGCGCCAGCCGCCCACTCACCTCCGATGGCGAGGTCGGAGATGGCGTAGTAGTATGACTGCAAGACGCGCGGGTCGCGGAACACCTCGTCTCCGAACGTGTTCAGCCGGTTCAGCGTGATGCGTATGGCGGTGGCGGTGACCCACTGCTGCAGCTGGCGGTTGTAGTCGAACTGCAATGCTCCCGGCCGTCCCTCGAGCGTAGCGAACGCCACCGAGCCGTCTGTCAGCGGCGAGATGTCGGAGAACTCGCTGGTGCACACGGCTCGGTCCTCGTTCCCCTCCGGCAGATACACCAGGTCCGGCAGGCCATATGTGTCCCGGCAGGAGGAGCTGCAGGGATGGTAATGTCAGGTCAGGTTATGTCGGGTCAGGTCAGATCGGGTCCCAAAGGCATTACGTATCCCGGTACGACGAGCTGCAGGGATGGTAGCGCCTGGTCAGGCCGGGTCGGGTCGGGTCGGGTCAGGTCGGGTCGGATCGGGTCAAATCGGGTCCGACAGGCCGGACGTATCCCGGTAGGAGGAGCTGCAGGGGTTATAATGTCATGCCAGGTCCGGTCAGGTCGACAACCCGTGTGCGTCCCCGCAGTGGGACTGAGCATGTCAGGTCAGGTCAGCCTGACGGCTCCACAGCACACAGACCGGCACACTGTGACACGTCATCAGTTAGCTGATCACGGCTGGACCGATCGTATGCCTCTCAATCACCAGCGTGTTGGAAACCACGGTTATTGGGGCGGAGATGCCTGAAGTGGACGAGCCCGAACAGTTAGAGTACGGATTAAGGTGCGGTTCTTAAGCGATGGGCCCTAGCTCAGAATGCTGAGCGGGCCTTGTTCATGCAGTCAAATATCGGTGCTTGTGATCAACTGCTGATCGCTCGGTTCCTCATTTAGCATGCATCGCCAGCTATGTGTAGCACAATATGTGTGTGTGACAGTGATCTTAAGTTGCACCGACGATAAAGACACATTATATGCCATGATATGGAGCTTCGAAAATGAGCCCTTAATAGGTATTTAATCAACCCAGCCCAAGCGCACTCTTCTTGCCGCGTTTTCCACATTTCGTTCATTTCTTCATCCATTCATTCATTCACTGACTCACTCATCCATTTATTCACTCGTCCATGCATTCGCTCATTCATTTATTGAATTATTTCATTCATTCAATCATTTTATGGTCATTGTTGTCCCAAGTTCAGACTTAACTCCACCAAGCTACCAACCTCGGATGAGTCAACCGCCCGCGACGTGATTACTACAGCCATGGTCCCAGGACACCAAGAAGCGACTTTCCAGTCGACACAGATCGCCACCGACAGCACCGACCAAGTGAGCTAATGTCCGGCGCGTAGACGGTGGCCCATCACGAATCATATCACAGTCACACGAACAATCCCAGACTGCAGTGTGTGGCTGGATCAGCGGGCCGTGTGGGAGCCCGGGGCGGCGCTCACGGTACCTGTAGTACGGGTACGGCCCCAGTCCTGAGGCGGCGCCCACGGTACCTGTAGTACGGGTACGGCCCCCAGTCCTGGGGCAGCGTTCATGGTACCTGTAGTACAGGTACGGCCCCCAGTCCTGGGCGGCGCCCACGGTACCTGTAGTACGGGTACGGCCCCAGTCCTGAGGCGGCGCCCACGGTACCTGTAGTACGGGTACGGCCCCAGTCCTGAGGCGGCGCCCACGGTACCTGTAGTACGGGTACGGCCCCCAGTCCTGGGGCAGCGTTCATGGTACCTGTAGTACAGGTACGGCCCCCAGTCCTGGGCGGCGCCCACGGTACCTGTAGTACGGGTACGGCCCCAGTCCTGGGGCGGCGCTCACGGTACCTGTAGTACGGGTACGGCTCCCAGTCCTGGGGCAGGGTTCACGGTACCTGTAGTACTGGTACGGATCCCAGTCCTGGGGTAACGCTCACGGTACCTGTAGTACTGGTACGGCTCCCATTCTTCGCCTGCCGCAGACTTCTTGTAAATGGCAAAACTCTCCGGCCTCGGCGACTTGAACTTTAGCTGAACGTATGTGATATCAAAAGCCTTCCCTGCGAACAATGGTATCAGCATGACACACTCACTTCCGAGTATCAGTCGCGCACACGAGTCTGTTTGAACAACAATCGCGGCTCACGTCCAAACCAGACAGCAACTATGCACTTCGTAGCCCCTCAGTCCCGACCACAACATGTCGACGGGAGGCCCTGGTCTCTCCCATCCTTCAAAGGCGCGCCGCGGCGGTATGAGAGCGCGCGTGCCGGCCGATAGTGGCCTGTCAGGTCCGTCAGAGTGACACGGCGGGTACCACGGTCCGGGGACCGGGGAGCGGGGTATCCCCACGGGCTGTGGTCAGCCGGTGGCCGCGGACCCGCCGGTCCCGACGGCACCGACGACACGGAAACGCGCGTAGTGACGTCACCCGCTGGCCTTCAGCATCGCCGGCCAAACCGACTACAGGCAATGTTTGGCCTCTACGCAAGGACCCGGCGAAGTGGCGCACGTCAGCACCGACAACTCAGTCAATCTCGTCGGCGTGAAGACCTGGTCAGACCGTCAGCCAATCAGCCCCTTTCTTCATCCGCCACTCAGGCTACTGGCCCGATGTGACGCCACAAATCACATCAATTCGTCAATCCGTCACCGCTCCAGCCCCGGCCTCGGCCCCTCAGCTCATCTCGCGGCTCAGCCTGGCCGACCGGCGTCCCACCGGCCCAGTCAGCGCGCCCCAGGCCGTCGCCCGCGGCGCGGCGCGTTCGTATCCGGCGCTGCAGATGTGCCGCCGTCGCCGGGCGACGCCGATAGCGGGGGCGCCCGCCCGGCGCCGCGGTTCCGGCCCGGCCGCCGCCGGTTCCGGCCGACAGCGGGCGCCGGTGGCCGCCCGCGCCGCCGCTCACGAGTCGCAGATAGCATCGGACGGCGCGCCGCCCGCCCCGGCCGACGGCGGCAATTAGGGCCGCGCTGGCCGCTGGTCGTGACGGCGCCGGCCGCTGGTGCGCCAGAGGGCGCTTCGCGGTCCGACGCTGCACGGACCGGCTGGCGGACCACCCGGACGTGTCGGCCAGCGCCTTGGGCCGGGAGCGACGGCGCGGTCAGAGCCCGTCAGCGGGTCCTGTGGCCGGTCCAGGGGCCGGGTTCCGGGGCCGCGTCCTGTGGCCGGTCCTGTGGCCGGTCCGGGGCCGCGTCCTGTGGCCGGTCCTGTGGCCGGTCCTGTGGCCGGTCCTGTGGCCGGTCCTGGGTCCGGGTCCCGGCGGCCAGACGCTGCCCTGTGACACGCGTCACACGGCGCGGTCGACGGGCCGCGGCTCGGCAGCCGGCGCTGAGACGGACCAGAGCACCGCCGGAGCCGCCGCCGTAGCCGCCGCGGCCGCTGCCGGCCAGAGCAGGCTGTGAGGTCACCACTGTCGGCCGCCGGCTGCCGCAGGATGTGGCCGCCACGGGTCCGCCACGGGGCGAGCTGGCGCGGACGGCCCCGCCGTCGCGTCCTCAGCGAGGGATCGGACAGCGCGGAGCGGATGGGAACAAGAGCCGGATGGTTCAGGCCAACAGATGGATAGCGAGGGGAAATGATTAAGCGTATCAGGGGGTTCACGCGTCGAGCAGGCGGGGGTTAAGGCCGTCGCATTTTCAGGCGCCTATCGAGGATTTCGCAAGATGGGGGGGGGGCAACGTTTGTCAGAAGGACCCGTAACACAGGCGGTCACAGTTTTGCTTCCAGAGCATCCAAGTCGCGCCTCTGATCTAACCACAGTTAACGGATCTAACCACAATCCATTTACGCAGTTGCCCCATTTGAGACCAGCAAGGGCATGTTGATCGGTACCTTGGACTCCACTGTCAACCTAGCGGAAAGCCCATTCATGCTGCCGGCCACCGGCCACATTAGTCGCATTTTAATTTGTCAAGATAAGCGTTCATAAAACACAGATATAGGCGTCCTTTGAGCGCCTCCGGTTGGCCCGGGAGCGCCTGAGGTCCTCAAGGGTGTGCGGAGGGAGGGGGAACGCCCCCTTTAAAACTACCGTTGGCTTCGCCCTTGTGCATCACTGACAATGATCGGGCTGAACATTTCAGTCGCATTGCTCGGGGATTGTGCTAACGATGTGTTAGTCATCTAGTATCATCATAGTATCATTCACGTAGTCAGGAAGAGGGAACTCTGGCCACATTGTCAACCATGGTAAAAATAACTTTCATTCTTTAGAATCGGTCCAAAAATCAAGCGGTTGTCGACCCTTGCGCAGTCAACAACCAAGGCGGCTCTTCTGTTGTGCAGTCTTGTCTCAGGAAAGCCAACCTTGAGCGGTCTTGTGATCCCTTCATTCCTGACCGCACACGGGTGACATTTCCAGCCGCAGGCATTCTCTGTTGACCTATCAGCCCCGTGTGACGGAGTGGTGGCAGGACGTGACTTCACGACGCCTCAAAAACATCAAGGACCAACGTCTGGGCCATGCTCAGAGATGATGTGGTTTGTGGAGGAGTCGACTATGTATATTCCTCGCGGATATTAGACACCACATCGACATCCTGCTCTGAATACGACGGATGTCAGGGCCAATGACATCAGCATGACACGAAGAAGCGCCCTACGACCAAAAGGCACGACAGATGCATTAAATCACTGTGGAGTCCTTTACCACTGAGAGCAAAAAGCAGACCTATCGCAAGTTGATAGTAGAGTACCCCTCCTCATTTCAGAGTTAATTGCACATTCAAAGTCGTGTGGCGGTGCACCACGAAACGACGTCGCCGTTATCAGCACCTCAAAAAGTTGCGCCTCTCCAGCGCAGGGTTTCCGAGGAGCATTCGTAATAAACAGGCGGGGTTAAAAGCTACTCACAAACATGCATGCACTCTGTGGTTCCGAGCGTTCATTGTCAGGCGCATGCCTGTACAGTGCACATCTCGGCACCACCGGTCGCGTGAGTGCCGTCGTGTCTTACGACGCAGTTCACTGGGCGCGGAGGGTGGCACACAACGGGGCTGTGTCCTGCCGCCTCCCCTCCCCCCCCCCCCCCCGTACAGTCGACTGGGGTGCGGATGGCGCGTGGGTGTGCCCACTGAGCACGAATAGAGAGTTGGACACTGTGGCACGGACATTAGGCGCGGAGCTCCCACAGCGGCAGGGACGCGGACAGGAACAGGGTGCCACGGCACGGACAGGGGCCTGTAGCACGGACAGGAAACTGCGGCCGGGCAGAAGTCCGGGCAGTGCTGACCGGGGGGAAGGGGCGGGAGGCCGGGGCATGACAGGCCATTTCGCGGCGCGCTGACGGCTGCCTTCATCTGGCCGCCGTCTGGACAGCGTGGCATTCAGGGGCCGTTTGGCGGGTCGGCCGCGCCGTTTTTGCGGCCCATTACGGCGTCTGCCGACCGCTGAGCCAGTCATCCCGTCATCACGGGCCGCTCGTGACAGGCCGGGCGGACTCCCGCCGCGGCCGGCCGAGCGCTGCAGCAGCGAGCGGTCGTCCGCGCTGGCGGCGGCGCGGAGCCGGACAGACGTCGAGCGCCGCTGGAAAGCCACGCCCGCGTGCCCGGGCAGATGACCACCAGCTGTAGACCGCTGCACATCCGGCACGCAGGCGGCAGTGACTGGCCGCAGCTGCGGACAACAACGGGACGAGACCGAGCCGCCAGACAGTCGGAGGCGGTGTGCGTCACGTCACCCTCCCAAGGCGGAAACAGGTGGGCCGCGGGACTTGTGAAGTCACGAGTCAGCAGGCGACGCTGGAATGACGGCAGGCGGCTCCTTCCAGCAGCCAGGCGAGCGGCCGGCGCTGAGCACCTCTGCCCAATCGTTATCGCTGTAGCCACTGAGATTAGCCGCCGCAGTAATGGACTTGCAGCCGCCTGGCGGTCATTTGGCCCAGCACGCATGGGCCGTGCAAGCCGGCCGTCTGACGAAACCGCGCGGCGGGTCTGGCCGCCCGACGGCCAGGGGACTCTTGCCTGGGCCGCTCCGCCGGACACGTCTGTCACAAAACGAACCAGACGGCTCCGAACATAAACAGGGCCGCGCCGGGCCGCAGCTGGCCGGCTGGAGCGGTGACCACGCGCGCCGCCAGCTGCACCAGGCGCTCCGTCCTGACGGAAGCCAGCAGCCGCCGGCGGCGGTGCCACTCCGCTTTGGCACGGCGGACGCCGCGGACTCGTCACACTCCCCGCAGCACCCACGCGGGCGTCCCGGTGGCGAGAACCGCCGATCGCCACTCAAAGGGTCGGTGGATAATGAGCAGACTGTTTCCGAGCGGCCCCTTCAGGCCGGCTGTCGGCCGAAGGACGGCGGCCGCGCCGCGGCGTCGTGCCATACACCCCGACTGATGAACGGCCCTAGGAACAAAGCGGCCGCAATCAGGAGTCCCCGGCACCGCCCGGCAGCGGCGATAGATCGGGCCCGACTTCTGCGCGGCGACTTCCGCGGAGCCGGGCCGAGACCAGACTCTTCAGGGCAGCTGGTCGGCCGGGCGACGGCTCGCCCAGCGGGAGCCTCCCGGACAAAAACAGCCGACGCGCCGCAACTGCCGCCGCCTCCTCAAACACACGCCGGCAACACCGGCTAAAATACGGCGCCCGATACGCCGATACGGACGCTATCTGGCGACCGACTAGCTAATGAGGCCGGCCACCTTTGCGGTCCAACTGCGGTGTGCGCCAGCCCGGCGGCCCGAGGCGCTGCCGACGCTCCCGGCCCGTCCCCGCCGCTCCTGCCGCCGCCACGCGCCGCGCGCGAGCCGGAGAGAGTGCGCCGCCGCCGCCGCTGTCCGACGCCGATGACGCGACGCCGGCGCTAACCAGCCGGCATCCGCGTAAGGAATGAGCCGATAAAAGCGCGGTAAAGCCGTCAGCGGCGGCAGGATGAGGCGGCGCGGCTGATAAGGGGCGTGGGAGCAAGCGGCCGGCGAGCGCCGCGAGAGACGCGCGACCCGACCCGGCCGAGTCCGGCGAGCGCCGCGAGAGACGCGCGACCCGGCCCGGCCGAATCTGGCGAGCGCCGCGAGAGACGCGCGACCCGGCCCGGCCGAGTCTGGCGAGCGCCGCGAGAGACGCGCGACCCAGCCCGGCCGCGTCCGGCGAGACCGGCGTCGGCGGCGCTGAGGCCGGCTCGGCGGCGGACGCGGTGACGGGCCTGGCGACCGGGCCGGGCCGCACGTGGACGGGCGGCGACCAGGAAGTGGTGATAACCAGGCGCGCCGCGGGAGGAAGCCGAACGGATGGCAGCCGTGGCTCGGACCGGGCCGGGCGGCGGCGCAGACAGCTCTCCGCCGCAGACCGCCGCGCCGCCGCGAGGCTGCGGCTCGCCCTGACAGGTCTGCTGGCGGCGGACGTCCGTCTGCACGCCGGCTAGCGGCGCGGCCGGCAGGACCCCTTTGAGGACAATAGCGGCACGAGCCTGTGCGGCTGACACAGATCTGGCGCATTGTCCGGCCGCCGCGGCCCGGTCGGCGGCGTACACAGCGTCACGTGACGCGGGCTCCGGCACGAGCCGCGTGGGAACGGCAGGGTGCGACGGCGCGGCTGGAGCCTGCACTGGAGCCCACTCCCATGAGGACCCACCGAGCGACGGATACAGCCGTGCCGAGAGGCGGGTCAGACAGTGACGTCACGAGTGCACGGAGGTGTGGGTCACGCAAGGTCCGAGGCTGACGACGTCGGCCTTCGATGGATACGGCCGTGCCGAGAGGCGGGTCAGACAGTGACGTCACGAGTGCGCGGAGGTGTGGGTCACGCGAGGTCCGAGGCTGGCGACGTCGGCCTCCGACGGAGCGGCACACACCGCCTGTGACGGCACCACGGCCCGCTGCCATACAGCTGTCAGCGGTCTGCGCCCGCCTCCCTCGCGCCGCAGGTCACCGCGCGGCTGTCGGTGCGCCGACGTCGGCTCGGTCACCGGCCACCCGCCGTGCTCGTCCCTGCAGCGCGGGTCGCGCGGCGGGAGGCGACGGCGGCTGCCGGCACTGATTAGCGCGAACACCCGCTCGGCCCATCGCCCGAGCACGTCGGCCGCCGCCACCGCCGCCGCCGAAAATACCACCCAGCCGGACGGGAATTTAATCAGCCGGGGCGTCCATAAAGTGCGGGGACAATAGAGATCAGGCCGGCGGCGGCGACCGATAATCGCAGCGTAGGCGGGCTGATGGGCGGCGGCGCCGGCCGCCGGCGAACTCCAGCACTCACCCAGCTCCAGCGTCAGGTTGACCTGGTTCGGGTACTGGATGTCCTCCATCATGGTGTCCGACTGCCACCAGGTCTCGTTCTCAAAGTTGTTGTAGTCGGTGAGGAACGTGGGCGGGTGTTTCCTGCGGAGGGAGGCGTGCCGAGTCGATGCCGGGCCGGCGGCGGAGTCGTGGTCGCCGTGTTAGGGAGGTGAGGGCGGCAGGGTGGCAGCACACGCCTCTGGCTGCCGGGATTGGGAGTCATGCTGTGAAGCTGGGGACCAATCACGCGCTTCGCGTACACACACTGTTCCGTGTGAAAGGCAGTGTAGTTAATAGCTGAATGAACATGGAGGAAGAGAAATCGGCGGGGTATACATTAACATGCATAACCTATTTTAAGCCCAGAATCTAGTTCCAGCCCCGAAAAACAGCAACTTTATAACCATGACTTGATCTACGATGATGACTAAGACAAAGGCAGCAAAAAACCGCAAGTCACGCAGAAGCTCGCAGACCCTCACGAAAACACGCAAGCAAGCACGTGCCCTCCCACGCAAGTTGACAGAGGCTGGCGGGCGGGCCGCAAAACAGCCGCTGACATCGGTGGACAGGACGCGCAACCTGGCAGTCGTGCACTCGGCCCGCGCGGCAGCCAACGGCGGTCGCCCAGCTGATCCACCCTCACCTGTACGGGTCGCCGGCTGCGCAGACATCGCACACCTTATCGGTGATGCCGCAGAAGTTGGTGGACCGGTCCTGGCCGCACGTGTTCGTGGCGTGCACGCGCCGGCCGAACGCCGCGTTCATGAACACCGGCTGACATCGCTGCAGGGCAGAACAGAACCCAGCTCAGCGCTCTCTCAGAGCTCAGAACAGAACGCCACTCAGCGCGGTACCCGGGGGAGAGTGGTGGCAGATCGTGGCCGAACGTGTCGCCAAACGCAGCATGGTCGTGTTGACCACACACCACAGGAGACATACATGCACCGTGGAACATGCACCGAAGAGAGGCTGCGCCACCCAGGTGAGCCGCTCACAGGAGACTGAGCACGTTGCCCAGCTGAACACAATGCCAAAGGACTGTTCATATTAAGCAGTTGCGCCTGCCGTCTGGGGTAGGGGGACTGAGTACATTAGCCAGCTGGGAGAACAGAGCAAGAAAGCATAATCACACCACCCTAATGAACGCACTGCATGAGGGAGCACGGTCCAATCACCCCTTTGAACACGCCGTCCACAGGATCAACCGATCAGGATTACCAATCGATCCCCCACATGAGCATATCGCTTACGGAACGATCACATCGCGCAGTTACCTCGGGAGTTGGTGGGCTCAGCGAACGGAGCGCACCATTACGCGGCTGACCTCACACACAGCGCCCGACCACGGTCCCCAGGAAGCACGGAGGCCTGACCGTGCAGTGGGGTAGCAGCAGTTCTTCTGCACCACACATCGCGGGTTCGAATCCCAGCCAGGGAAGATGCAGGCCATCTCACAACCATCCCCAACCTCAATGCATGTATGTGCGTAGCAGCTTGGGCTGGGGCGGCGCCACTTCAGCTACTACGAATGGTTGAGCTTTAATGTGCTGCACTGGAGCACAACCCCCAACAGCAAGGCGGGGGGGGGGCAGCTCCTAAGCCGTGCACTTACGTTCAGACGAGTTCAATTATCGCGTCACGTGACCAAACACGCCACCAAACACAGCGCAACCACACCTCGTAGCTGAGCACCTAGTGAAAGGTAACTTTATTACATGGATTCTTCTCAAGCACCCCGAGCAACAAAGCGCAGAGAGAAGCGCTGCGTTGATCTAGTGTAGTTCGTTGGAAGAGGTCTCCCTGATCTTCCCGTCGGAAGAGGTCTCCCTGATAGTTTACTACGAAATGTAGCAAGGCTCCATGAGCACGTCGCAGAATGATGCAGCTGCGTGATACGAATGCGCACACGTACACACTTCGGACAGGAGTGAAACACGGCTCTGGTATACATATGTACACACTTCGGACAGGAGTGAAACACGGCTCTGTTATACATATGTACACACTTCGGACAGCAGTGAAACACAGCTCTGGTATACATATGTACACACTTCGGACAGGAGTGAAACACGGCTCTGGTATATATATGTACACACTTCGGACAGCAGTGAAACACTGCTCTGGTATACATATGTACACACTTCGGACAGGAGTGAAACATGGCTCTGGTATACACTGCCGTATGTACACACTTCGGACAGGAGTGAAACACGGCCCTGGTATACATTGCCGTATGTACACACTTCGGACAGGAGTGAAACACGGCTCTAGTATACATTGCTGTATGTACACACTTCGGACAGGAGTGAAACACGGCTCTGGTATACATTGTCATATGTACACATTTCGGACAGGAGTGAAACACGGCTCTGGTATACATTGCCGGTGTCAAAACAGCGGCAATCGAATCAGCGGCGTTAGAACAGAGCCCAACATCTGTCTTCAAGACCACTGCGGCCAGTTTGGTATTGTGGATAGGGTAAAATTTCCACAATAAAGGCGTCCCAAAGAAGTCCCTAGGCTCAAACACCTACAGAGTACTAACAAACGTGGAAGGGGTGCTGCATCCGTGAAAAAGGTGCCTTTACATTACAACGAGCCCGCAACAGTTTTGCACATCGCCGTCCCAGGATGGCGCCGGACGATCAGGAAAGCTCTCTGTGGGTAGCAATACAAGCACGCAGTCGATAAAACAAAGGACCAACGCGCGAGGACCGAGACACACTGCTATACTCTCAGTGAGTGGCAGTGAAAGCATGCCGAGGACAGGGACAAACGCCGCTGTCAGAGGACGGATCGACGCTGGTATAGCCACCGCCGGGCGGCAGCAACACATGCAGTGGACGGAGCCGTATATCGCATGCGTCTCACGCACCCCCGCTCACTGGGCCGTGCCTTCGGTGCGCCAGCCGAGCGCGGCGACGCGGCCCGAGTAGCAGCCGGAGCGAGCTGTTGCCGGAGCGAGCAGCTGTCCCCACGGTCAAGGCGGCGGGCCCTGAGTCAGCTGTTGCCGGAGCGAGCAGCCGTCTCCACGGTCACGGCGGCGAGCCATGGGTCAGCTGTTGCCGGAGCGAGCAGCCGTCTCCACGGTCACTGCGGCGAGCCATGGGTCAGCTGTTGCCGGAGCGAGCAGCCGTCTCCACGGTCACTGCGGCGAGCCATGGGTCAGCTGTTGCCGGAGCGAGCAGCCGTCTCCACAGTCACGGCGGCGAGCCATGGGTCAGCTGTTGCCGGAGCGAGCAGCTGTCTCCACGGTCACGGCGGCGAGCCCTGGGTCAGCTGCTGCCGGAGCGAGCAGCTGTCTCCACGGTCACGGCGGCGAGCCCTGGGTCAGCTGCTGCCGGAGCGAGCAGCTGTCTCCACGGTCACGGCGGCGAGCCCTGGGTCAGCTGCTGCCGGAGCGAACGGCTCGACAGCGGCGAGCCGTGCGTCGGCTGCTGGTGGTCGGCTGCGGCGGCACGAGCCTTGCAACGCGACCCGTTCGACCGCAGCATGCATCGCCGCAAGGTTCAGCGCGAACCATCGGAGCCGTGGGCTGTGTTTGCATGCCAGCTGCGGAGCACATGCACTCACGCGGGGGTTCCAGAGTTAACACCAGCGCCGTCTCACAAGTGCCCCCACAGAACTTCTTTTTTATAAATTTATTCCGAATGGTTTGTAAGGGTGACTTCGGATTCAGAGTACCTGCTAAGCATAGCTTGTTGCGTGTACCCCGAACCCACCACCCAAGCGTGCCGTCCAGTTCAACAGCTAATTTTGCCTCCGCCCTTTCGCCAGACAGGGATGCGGAGGGTTTTACGTGCCGCACAATGCTGCGACACGGCCGCCTCGGGTCTGGGTTGAACCTCGTTGGCCAGTTGCCAGCTGGCCTTTCCTTTTCAGTCGGGTCAAGCAATGCGCCCACTCTGGGACTCGTACCCAGTGCCGCTGGATTACGAGTCCAGCATCTCTCCCCAAGACCACGGAGGAGGCAACTTTGCACTCAGTCGTGGGATGGTTGGGGCTTGTATCTCTTTTGGAAGGACCTTGCCCCCTCCATCCTCCAAAATATGTAAAAATCCTTCAATATTTTGCCCGAATCTCAAAAAGTTGAGAAACTCCCAAAGGCGAGTGGGTTCACGAGGCTACCAAAAACGGCGAAACAACGTACAAGTTGCAAGCCAAGGATTAAGCGCTTTGCTTTTAGAGCACGGTCAGGAGGGTGTATCCGCGCCGGCTCCTGAGTTTATCCACACGCCGCTCCTGGTTTGCCCTCACTCACGCCGGCTTCCGAGCTGGAGGCGTGCAGAGTACGGAAAGCAAGAGCGAGAGCGAGAGACTGCTCGTGTGGAACAGACTGCGGCGGTCGCCAGGAGGCTCAGGTGGATGCGCGGAGGCGCCGATCTGCCCACCACACCAGGAGGCGAGCTCGGGAGGTGGCACAGTGCGTGTATCAAAGTCCGGTCCTCGTTCTTTCTCCGCGTTTGGACCGGAGACAACGCGCGATGCAACGACACTGTGCTGTCAAGTGCTGGACCCAGGGGAAATGAGACGGCTGGAACCGCTTAGTATGAGGAGCTTGTCATGCACCAGTGGTTTGTGTACACATCTGCGTCATATGCATGGAATGTGCCTCACGAATGCATCAAACCAAATATTTATAGTAATCAACATTCTGTAATTATTCCTTCAGAGCCTAGAAACGGATCCACGTAAAACATAGACATGTTGGGTGCACTGGTCTTCACGGACCGGTTCTCAAACTACACCACAGAGAATTACGTCCAGAGAACACTTTCCATCTAATCGCCTAGTTATACGCAACATTAAACGGCTTCACGCTGTTTTACCGCACCACAGCCACCACTCCTTGGTGAATGGTCCCCAGCCCGTCTGTTCACCCCCTCCCCCCCCCCTCTCTCTCTCTCTCTCTCTCTCTCTCTCTCTCTCTCTCTCTCTCTCTCTCTCTCTGCGCCAGACCCGTTAAGACCCCCGCGCGCCTGTGTTCTCTTGTAATAATTGGTTCACAAAACCCTCTCAGCTCGCCCCTGCACCGCACCACGCTCCGTTCCTCATACGGTTCTCGGAGCTGGCACCGCTCTCAAAACCCCTGCGCTTCCGTTCTGGAAACCTTCCCCCAAGCCCCTGTCTGCGTCAGTATTCTGTTCCAGTCGCGCTTCTGGGGAGCCGGTGTGGGCGCCAGTGCCTGCTCCACCGCCGCCCCGGGCAGCGACCGCCGGACCGACGTCCAGACCACCAGACCACCAGACCAACGTCGGGTCGGCGTCCGTCCCCTGTCGGCGGCGGTCCGCCCAGCTGCCGACGTGTTGGCGAGGGTCCGCTCCCCTCGCGCCGTCTCACATTACACCGCCGGCCGACCGGCCCGCTGCAGGCAGTATTTACCGACGCGACGCGGCGCGGCGCCGCTGGCGGAGGGGGTGAGGAGGGCGCGGTCGGACCGGCTGCGGGTCCGCGGAGCCGACCGACGGGACCACACATCGCGAGCGGCAGGCGGCGGCGACAGCGGCCAATGCGCGCCGCCGCGCCGCCGCGCCGCCACCGCGCCGCATCCGCCGCGTCCGGCGGCACGGCTCATTGGTCATTCACAACGCCTCATATCCATAAACCCCATCAGTGGGCCGCCGCGGGTTGAAGAATGCGCGTGCGTGCCGTCTGCGCCCCAGAGATCCTGAGCGGGGGAGACTGGCTGGCTGACTGGTGGTCCTCCGCGGGCCGCTGGCGGGTCGGACCGCGCTTCAGAACGCACCTCGTCCGCGGCGATTGCAAACGGGGCAGCGCAGTCG